TTTTCGTTTTTCGTTGTGTTCCGCATCGTTATTCTTCCGACCTATCTGCGTCGTCAAATATCGCTACGATTCATGATTTATATTTTTTTCCATACATCATAACGCAATTACGAATAAAACTGATTTTTTTTCTCTGATCGGACATTGATAAATATCCGACTAAACGCCGTAATTTATTTACTTCTTTTCTTCATATAAATATGAGTCTTCATCTCGATCCTTCTTTGCCTTTACTCAAATCATATATATACCACTGAATATAAGGGGAGCAAAATCACACTTATATATTTTATTCTTCTCATATCAAGCAAATGCATACGTTTTATGCAACCTTAGCTTTACTATTTACATTTACTATTCTTTTTTGGTCAAGTACTGAAGGCGCTGTTTGTGGAGCCTACAATCCAGTCTTCGACACCTGCTGCAATGGTGTAATCAATGGTGGACCTAAACAATCGTGTTGTGGTACGAAAGCTTACAATACATTCTTCGACACCTGCTGTAATGGTGTAATCAATGGTGGACCTAAACAATCGTGTTGTGGTACGAAAGCTTACAATACATTCTTCGACACCTGCTGCAATGGTGTAATCAATGGTGGACCTAAACAATCGTGTTGTGGCACGAAAGCCTACAATACATTCTTCGACACCTGCTGCAGTGGTGTGATTAGATCAGGGAAGGTTTCTGTATGTGGAAAATAAACCGTCGTGTACAACTTCATGAACGAACACTGACACAATTCTAAAAATAAGACTAAAATTTCTACTATCGAACATCTTTCTTTTCCATAGATCAGCCTCTTAATTATCTATTGAAGAAATTACTCTTTGTTTTTTTGATCGTGTCTTTTTTGTACTCTTGGTGTAAGATTGATCTTTCACATTTTGTAGTAACGCTAAGTCTCTTCTATTTACGAGTGAATCTTGTATCCATACAGCTTATTTTCATGTTAGATTACCTTCATTTTTTATATTAATCCAGAAAAAGACAAGCCATTATATTCATGAACAATTTTCTGCTTTTTTATTGACTCAAGTAGTATCAAGAGCAGATTTCCGTTACATAAATCAATAACAGAGAAGATTACATTGATGCTCCTGACTTCCTGTTCCTCAACAAGAAAAAGTCTCATCAATCCTTTATTTTTTCATGCGTACGTATCTTGTAATGTAATTACAGAAAACTGGAGTATTTCTTTTATTCCAAATTCATAAACTGTAACAGATTTTAAAGTTACTTAAACATTGAGTTACGCTTTCATTGTAAATCTTTTTCAACCAAGTTTAACCTGTGCTTTCATTCACACAAAAAGTAAATAACTACGTACTCGCTATGTGTTATATGACGACTGGAAACTGAGTGAGTGAAATACGACACATTCTGATTTTGAAAGAACATTGTGGATAAATATTTTTCTATTTTGAGCTCTTTTAATATAAGTTTTGTAAAGAATTCAATACCGGCTTTTTCTAGATATTTTATAAGTCTGCTAGACCCTTGCATACTGAGAAAAAAAATTTGAGAACAAAATTTTCCGTGAGCTTGAGCTATTATTTAAAGGAGGCTCTCAAAAATTTCAGTGGCACATTGTCTAACGTTGGTTCAAATGGTTATTTTCCATAGTTTCTGTTTCTCTTTTCAAATAACAACCATATGGTCATTATTTTCGTCTTCCATAGAAGGGTGATGACTATGTGTAGGAAAAATTATGTCTGATAGAAACGGAATTACTGCTCAAATACACCATTTAGTCTAGCAAGTAGAAAGCATTCACTAATGTTTATCAATGGTTTATCGAATCAGTCATCGTCAGATTTCTAAATTTTGCATGCATAAAAGCTTTTGAAACTCTAAGAGATACAACTCACACACAGTACCTGTGAAATCTAAACGAAAATGGTATAGTTAATATCGTAAATTGAAATATTGTAAGCATTATTCTTCATTTTGTAGATCTATGAAAACTTTTAGAAATGAATGTAGGCATCTTGAGGGCGTGGTTGTTAATGGGTATGATGCATCTTTTATTAGCATAATTCACATCTACATCGACACCCACACTCAAACTTACAATTAAAATACAAGAAGCGATTCTTTTCTTCTTTTCTTAATTCTTCACAGAAAGAACATGCAAAAAGTACATGTGTGATTCGGACGGAAGAAAAAAATACAGTTACAATTTCAAAAATAAATAAACAATTTTGAAAAAGTAAAATTTTAATGGGCAAATCTCCAAATGGAATGGACAAGTGTCCATTTGCTTCCTCCCTCGCTACGCCACTGTTCGCCATGCGTCCCTCCGTTGTTATTCAGCCTTTCAGAAAAATCTTTGGTTTTCTTTTTGTTTTTTTATGTCATGTTTCGATTTTTCGTTTATAGATTCTTTACAAAAAAGATTATGAATCTAAACAATAAAAAAAGAGTTCACGTTGTGTTTCGTCCTCACCATTATTGTCCTCGTTCATAAATCGTTCAATAGTTGTAAGCATTGCAGCTACGGTAGTTGTTTGTACTGAACTACCATCTTTGAGTTTAACGGAAGGTGGTGAAGTTTCATCAGAAGCATTCAATACACAATAATATGTTATTGCCATATCGCTTTTCTTGCTATTATCTAGGAAAAAATAAAAATCTATCTTTTTTTAAATATTCAAACAAAAATCGCGTAATAATTTAAAACAAACTTAAATAACTGAAAAATAGCTCTTGTTCTGTTCGTCTGTTTAATACAACTCGTTCCAAATTAAAGATGAATAAAATTTAAAAAAAGCCATTTTTCTATTCTTTTCAATGTTCATGCAAAATGCATGTATGTTTTAGTCTTTAATATTTAGTTCAATTTCTTCAGTGGTGATCATGTCTACTTTCTGTCCACTAAAGTAATGATAGAAGAATTTCTTTTAGTTTCACTCCTATTATCTAATTTTTTTGTTATAAAATATATGAATAGAAATAAATTACAATTGCTTGTCATACAGAGTCACCATTAATTAGTTGTAAATATATATGATGACTACTTTTGACTATATAAAATAATCTTTAAGTTTTATGACAAATAATATGCTAACACAAAGAAAAAGAAACTCGAATTCATCATTGCAGAATACTGTACAGAATTAATCTATTAAGAATTTGTTCGAAAAGTTACTTGTCTTACCTATAACGTCATTTGTTTCAATGTCCATAATAGCTGATGAGTGAGAATATAAAGTGTAAGTAGTATTGATTTCGATTATTCAATTTATATCAATATCATAGGCTGGTTTTCTCCAACAAAAACTCATGAATATACGATTAATCATTATTAGTTTTATCACTCTCTTAAATGGTTTTTTAATGATAAACAAATATTATGACTCATTTCTATCTTACGGGTTGTCTGTTTAATACACTCATCAAATTGGGAAATATTTCAGTTTTATTTGGTCGAAATACTAATGACGTCAGAAATGAATCATAAATATGAGTAAATTAATCTATTTTTCATCGTGTCTGATCAGACTGATGACGTAAATAAGAACGAATTATTTCCAAGTTCAAAAGCAGGTACATTTTTCTCTTTCCTTTATATATGATCGTATGGGATTTTTCCTTTCGTTCTTTCTCAATTCTTTTGACTAATATGGAAATTTGTTATTTCCAAGTGATGAACAAAAAGATTGATATATAACAGAACAATTTTATTATGTAAAGAAAGTATTACAAAAATGATCGAATTATTTTTATACTTAATTAAAAATAATCTAGAATTTCAAAGAAGATGATATTGGTACAAAATGTTGTTGTCCACTTATAGAAATCTCATCGAAATTCATATGTTCATAATTATTGTTTCGATCATTTCTAACATGAATGTTTGGACAATGATGACGGTCAGTATATTTTATAGGATTTTGTATTTGATTGCAGTTGAATGTATTTTCTGGAATAGTTGCACTACCAGATAATGATGGAGAAAATATCCTAGAAAAACGATATTTTAATCTATTCATTTATTTTTTCTCAAATGAATTAATAAAAGTAAAATTACCTTTCTCCTGTATTGAGATTATTTGATGTATTTGCTAAAGATGAAGATTTTGGTGTTACACTTAGATTTTTTTTACAACAACATTTTCCAACAATATATTTATAAACAAAGATAAAAATGATTATTGTAATCAATATAATAAATAATGGAAAAAGAATCTATATAGAATTATTAATAAATCTTTTATAGTTAAAAATAAAAAAATTAAACTTACAATAAGAATTAAATCAAATGATTTATTATTTTCTTGATTTAATTTTATTAATAATTCTTCTGTAGAAGAATATATTTGTGTTGTCGATTGAAAAGTATGAGTTGTTCGTTGAGGAGCAAATTTTGATGGTGAAATAATTTCACTTGAACATGGATATTTATCAAAAGCACTTAATTTAAGACAACGACTAAAATAATTTAATTATAAAAATCAATTTGAAAAATGAAAATAAAAAAATTTTACAATTTAATTTTAATAATATTCCATTGTGGATTATTTAAATCATAATGTATTGAACCATAAAGATAATTTTTATTTTGAATATTTTTTATATAAATTGTATATAAATCAATATTCATACCTAATTTTATAAGTTGATCACGATCAAATGGTTTATCATCATAATCAAGTTGATCAATAAATAAAATAAATTGACGAATTTCATTATTTATTTGTCGAAAAGAAAAGAAATCTCCTAAATTCCAATCAAATTTATCACGAAATAAAACAAATTTTTTATATGATGAAAATGAAAGAATAAGTAATGATGTTTTACAAGTATTTGGTTTTACTATTATTGATTCTATATCGATATATTGATAACATTCATCACCAGAACATATTGAAGAAGAATTATCAGAGTTAATTATTGTATAATTACATTGAGATTTTATACAATTTATTGAATTAGATTTTACTAAGAAAAAAAAACAAATTATATACCATTGAATCATTATGAATAACTAATAATATATTCAAATTTTGTTCGAATCTTTCTTTTTTTTTATCAGTTATTAGTCGAACATTCCAAATAAAATACATATATAATATTATATACAAGATAAGAATAGAAAGAATATTTCAATAGTACGCCAAGAATGTAAAAGAAAAATTCAAAATTACGATATCAACGTGATTACATACTTTCGAATAATCACGAATATTTTACAATCTCGAAAATTCTTCTTTATTTTAATGATATTATATTAACTGAATAATCAATTCTATGAGCTTTTCTGTAATATATCATAACATGATTGGAAAAAAAAACGATATTGATTAATCATATAATTATCTTTCTACTTTATGTTATATTAATCGAAATTTCAGTTGTCTTATTTGAAGAAGATAGAAATATCTTAACTATTATATAACGAATTCTTGTTTAGATAGATACTTAACATGATTTTTGCTTTTGTTCTATTAATGGAAAAAAGAACAAGAAGAAAATCACTAATGTCATGTCAATGATTATAATAGAATTAATCAAGATAATTATCTTATTATTCTTCTCTATTCACTGAAATGATTTTTAGCTTTGATTTTGACAAATACAGGAAATATTATATTTGAAGATTTTTATTCAGAAGTATGACACACACATTATCGGAAATAGATCCATCATTTCATATTTATAAAAAAAAACTAACGATGAGTCTTTACTTTTGTTATTAGAAGATTATATTGACTTAGCTTTTTCTTAGATTAAAATGAAAACAAGCAGGTTTCTTTCGTCATATATATATATAAGGATGTTATGTTTATGTATCCTAAAAATAGGAGTCAGCAGAATGAAAGTAAATCTTACATTTTCTGTACTATTAGTCTCGATGATTATTTTTTATTTTGATTCATTTTGAGAAATCTCGTTTGAGTCAATAGAATAAATTCAATTAAACATGTAAGAAGCATTTTTTTATTTATTTAATTTTTTTTAGAAAAAGTGCATGGCTCTTCTTTCTGGTTCATCACTCCAAACAATTGTCTATGTAATTGCTTTATATTCGATGTGTCATGAAATAAAATTGGTTGAAGGTCGTTTTCTTTGGGATTTAAGTAATTATTGTATTAATTATTGTTCACGTTTCAGTGAACAAATGCCTCGTATTGGTGTTTGTTCATGTCATCGTATTGCATCTTATCATCGTCGAATGACTGGAAGAGATTTAGAAACAATAGATGAACAAACTTTTCAAAATTCGAATTTTAATGAACCAATTGATAATTATATTTGAAAATATTCTTTTTATTTAAGATTAATTAATGAAAAAAGAAAGAATATAATGAAATAAAATCTAGTCTTTTATTTTTCTCTTAAAATACAACAAATTTACGTTAAACATGTTTGACTATACAGTTTTGCATAAATAATATAAATCAGTTAATAGATCTAATACATTCAATCTAATGAAAAATTATAGTTAACTCTAAATCTAAGAAAAATTCATGAGATGAATAATGGTGCCTTAAGTTTAAGTTAAATAATATTTGATATTTTTAGTAGTTAAATTAAAAAATTAAAGGATTCAATTTAAACTGATTTCTCCTCAAAATCTATTTTTATTCAGTAATCTCTCGTAAATATAATTATATTGTTTCATAGCAATGTCACGTCTATGAATTGGGTCTTCTCGTCTTATACTCGAGTGTATTTCATTTGTTTTTCTTCAGGATAGTTCATTGATTAAAGGATTTAATGGAATCTAAAAAAATGTCTTTCTTATAGGAAAATTCTTGTTTTTCTGCTAGACATCAAACATTTGTTAGATATCAATAATAATTGTAATCACAACATCTTTATGTGCTACTAGATTGCCATACTAATTGATCGAAAATAGTCATATGACATGATGCATCTGTTAAACAAGCAAATTGACAATTAATTAAATCTTTTACAAATACAATAGTAGAAAGTGAACAATTCTGATTGATACATTTTTAGTGAATGAATAATAGATCAATAACAATATTCTGCAAACCATGATGAATCATTAGAAAGAGTAATAAAAAATAAAATAATTATTGAATAAGAATTTTTTTCGAACTCTTTATTAAGATAATTGAAATCGCGAAAAACTGAGGGCGTAAGTGTGAGTATTCTTCTCTCCACACCCAAACCAGCACTCGAAAGTACTAACAAATCAGGAAGTATACCAATGACATTACCAGCGTGTGAACGTGGAATGAATATAATATCCACATAATCAAGATAAATATGAAGAAGCTGTCTCTTATCTAGAAGAATATTTCCGTATTGTTAAATTCTACTTCACAATCATTTCATGCTGATTATAATCTGTGAGAATAGAGAAATATTTTAACTTACTTAAACATCCGTTAGAAACGGTAAGGTTTTGTATAGAAGTACTATCATATAGTCACAATGAAACTAATTAAGATCTTCTGCAATTTAATTGCTTTTTTAAGCGTATGAATAAACTCGAATATGGTGACATATTATTTCTATGGATACTGCTGAATCTGATCTATGGCAGTACAACGTTAGATCAAATTATTTTATCTAATCGGCACCGTCTAGAATCATTTTATTCTATATAATGAACAACATCAAATCGTTCACAATTTAATTTGATATTGCTCATAAACGTAATTAGAGTAAATCTATTCATTTATTCTGTTTTAAAACGTTAAGACGCAGTTAAATGACATTTCATATGAATATTTAAATCGAATAAAAGATACTTTGTCTAATAGTTCAACTTTTATACTTTGATAGAATACATTTGTTTTGCTACTTTCTTCAAAAGTCGACATAAAAAATAAATAATTTAAATTAAACTGCAAGTACAATAATATGGTTGAAATGGAAAGGTTTTAATTAACATAAATATACATTGATTCTCTTTGTATATATATCTATTCATAAACAACAATAGGAATAATTAAGAATTAGCAAATCTTGCATAATTGATGTTCTTAAAAAAAATACGCAATTAATATTGTTAACTTGGAAAGAAGAATGAAGATACGTAAATTACGATATTTAAATTAAAAATAACTTTTTAAAAGATTTTTTTATATCGATCTTACGATAAAGTTTTAATAATGAAATGAAAACTCATTATGTTACTGCTTATTTCCTTTTAAGATAAACAAAAATTGTTTGAAGAGAAGAAAAAGACAAATATAAATGTAATTGTTTTTTTTTCTAAATAAATTCTATATAAACAATAATAATTGTTAAAGGGATGTTAGAAATGCAAGATATTTAATTAATGGAATTGTTTGTTTTTTATTTATTTATTTATTGTTAAAATCTATTTATTTATTTTCTTTAAGATAATGGTTCTTGTTCGCACACATTGATGGCTAATTGAAGACGTGCAGCAAGATCTCCATAATAATAATAATAAGCTTTATTTCTCGAACATTGTGATCCAGATGTTGATGGTATCAATTCCATTTCATGTTCTCCCATACATATAACAGAACGTAAAAATTCTCTATTGAAAAACAAAAATTAATTAAATAAAATCTTGTATGAGAAAATCAAACCCATAGGAACTTACTTGCATTTTGTTGGATATTTATCATCAAATGAATAATGACATTTACTTAAAACTTGTTGACTTAAACGAGATGGACGACAAGAATCCCCTATAGTGATTTAGATGAAAAATATATTATTTATTTCTATCTCGAATAACTTACGACTTGTTACACCACATGAACTCGTTACTAATTTCCAATAGATTTTCGAATATTCATAAGAAAATGGAAATTGATCAGCAGAACAAACTTCATTTTGATTAAAGATCGAATAAAGACATCCACGATATAATGAACTTTTGTTATAAGCTCTACACAAAAATATATCGAAATAAAATAAAGAGAAGATTTTGAAAAATAAAACAAACTGGCAAAGTAATGCTCCTTCCATATAATATGCATTTTCAGGTGATGTTATATCAATTGTATCATCGATATATTCTTTATAACATTTAAGCATATGTATATTCACCGTATTTTCATCACATTTTCCATTATTAGATTGTTCACCTACACAAATTGAATATTATCGAATGTTAATAGATATTTATTTGATTTATAAATTAAAAAGTAATATGTTTGAATGAATAAATAAATAAAAAACTTACCATTAGCAAAGATAAAAGTAAGAATTAATGTGATGAAGAGAAGAATATTAATATTATTTGTGTAAATCATAATAATTCTGTAGGATAAGAAAAGAAATGTGAGATTGTTTAAAATACAATATATTTCTCAATTCTCCGTCTTTTTATTCAGATCGTGTTTAAACACAATAGAGAAAAAGAAAATGAGAAAAGAAAAATACTATTTCTACTAACTAACTAACTAACGATATGATAGCAAAGTGAGCAAAACAAAACCATTTCCGTTTCAAACTCACTAAACACAATATGTTAGTAATAAGCATTACTTACTCGTGATATTAGACAATAAATAGAAAAGTATATTCATTATTTACTCTTTCTTTTTTTTATCCAAAAGAAAAGAAAAAGATTATCAAAAGAGACAAATACTCACTAATAGACATATCTCTCTCTAAAATATAAAAAAGAAAGAACTTTTTATACAATAATAAAACTTTTCTCGTACTTATTTCCGTTATGAATTCGACTCATACTATGATACTCTATTATTCTATTATTTTAATAGAAAACAAAAGAAAAAATAAAGTATGTCAACTAAATAAAATATCTTCTACATCAATATTAAATTCAGAAATTAAAATTTTGAAAATATTTTTTTTCTTTTATTTATTTTTATCTTAAGAAAAAATAAGTAGAATAAAAACCATAGAAATTTTATTTCTTTTTTTAAATACAAAGTTATTCAAGACAAAATACTAAAAATATTCATGAAGAAAAAGAAATTCTATTTTATTTGATTAAAAAAAAAGCTAAATTATATAAATAATCTGATAATGAATAGGTGATATTTGATTTAGAGAATTAATTTAGATTTTATAAAAAGATCTATGATTACATTTTTTCGTTTATTCCCTTGTCAACATAATCGCCATTCTTATATCAGATTTTTTAATCTGTCTGCGAAAAAAACATAAAATCAACAATAGACTGTTATTTGAACATGAAAATACCTGAGGGATTCTTATTTGTTTTTCATTCCGATTGATCACTTTTCTTATTTCCGTTTCAAAATAATAGTTTAACGTCACAATTTCGTGTCAACTTATTATACACGCAACAAAATATATTCACCTCATTCAGATTTCTATATTTAAACATTCCAAATCATATTCTTTTCATATTGAAACTACGAACTTTTCTGGAAATTTTTATCTAAAAGAAAAAGATTCAAAATATTTAGTTTGTGGGGTTCGACAAATCTTATACAGATATGAAAACTAAAATATTACTCTATATTAGAATCTTATATGCAAGATTTTCCGATTACTAAACGTATGAGTGATGAATTCTATGAGAGACGGGTAGTATTTAATGATAAACAGTCAACACAAATTCTTCTTGTATGAAACTTAATAAGTATTAATTGAATAAGATCTGAAACAGAATCAAATCAATGTATTTTATGACCAATATTTACATTTTGTTCTTTTATGCTGAAAACCCACTATTAAAAGTGTCTTTTATTCTTTTATTGACAACCGGAAAAAATGCGGAAAGGAAAAGAATCAGAGAAAAACTCTAAATAATGGATGAGGCTACAATCATGTTTTTCAAGTCAATTAATGTTAATGTACTAAACAAGTCTAATACTTTTTTTTCAATAGAAAAGCAGATGCATCGTCTCTTATATATACAAACTTTTTTCATCAAACCATATATATATATCTAAAATATGGCATCTAGAATTTTATTGGATTCACAAATAAATATTAACTTTTTTACAAGTACTTTGTATCGATCGTAGACAGAAAGATATGTTTTTTTTGCTCTTGTTGGTGGCAGAACGGCTTAGTATGTAGAAGAAGTTGTTGACTTCAAATAAAATTCATTTCATTCACTTTCCATATTGTTGAATCCAAAAGAAAAAAAACTATTCGGTCGATTATTCATTGATCAGATAGAACAGATGAACGTAAATGTAAGTTCATACGAAAAGCAAAAGAAAAAAAATAAATGATAAGCATAAATATGGAAGATTTACCAGATGAAATTCTTCTGACTATTTTTCAAAAAATTATACAATAAATTAACACTAATAAAATCAATAATAAAAATGAATGACTTAATATTGAATTATCACATTTATGGAACGTATTCTTGCAACAAATTATCCTAATTTACATGCATTTTGTTTATAGGATTTTGTAGCAGAAACAATGAATAAACTCTTTTATGATAAGATATTTCTCTTCTATACTCTTTCCATGATTAATAAAATAAACGAAACTTATTCGAAAATACATTTTTATATAATCAGATTTTTATTATTAATTCATAAATATCAATTAAAAGAAAACATAAACAACTCGTTTTTATTGATAAAGGGTGTAGATGTGGGACGGATATAATACCCAAATCCACATCTGCACCCGTGTTCGATCAGTGGCATTGATAAATTATGAAGATGAATGATTACTATCTACTATAATACTCTGAATACTGCTTTCTGAAAAGATATTTAAACTTATATGATTCAAATAAAAATGAAAAGAATGAGACAAGACTTTTGACCAGTATACAATTTATCATCATCACTTTTTTATCAATAAACAAAGATGGATATTATTTATTAATATATCATTAAAGTATGATTGATTATTAAGTAAAATGAATATGAATAGATATCAACACATTAATGAAAATATCAGAGAACTATTCATTGATGAAACTATGTATAGATATGCGATTAAAAGTAAATAAATCTATTATGATTGAGTATTTGTTTTGAATTTAACATAGATAATAATCTCTATGTAAAACTATTGAAAATTCTCTATTTGAATTTCTAATTGAAAAATAATGAAAATAATAACTAATTAATTATTTGTAAATATTCAACAATATTCAATGAATAAATAATTATTTTTAGTTATAAATGAAAATATTTTCAATTATAAAAAAAAAGTCTCTCAGCTATTATCTGAATAGAACATTTCTTAAATAGATCAGTATTCAACTCATAATCATATTTTCTCATGAATATGATAACAAAAACAAAATTTCTTTTTCTGATCACAAGTTATTGAAATATTGAGAAATTTAACTGATATTAAAATGATTGATTATTATCTATCCATAGATAATCTGTAGATATATTTATCGAAATATCTCCATTAAAAATTGTAATAACTGATAGATCTGACAGTTTTTTTCTAATTGACTGGAAAAAGAATTAGATATAATTGATATGTCTAAATTTAATAGAAATAATAAGTTATTTAAAATTGACGTCAATCAATATTTCATTATAATAAATTTTCTCGAAGTAAATTATATGTCTGACGAATATCTAATTCATGAGAATGAATATATAAAAGAAATTTCTTCTTTTTTTTTTTCTTGATATATATATAAAGGTTTGATTCATAATATATTATGATCGAAGGAGTAAGTAGAAAGAAAATCATTGATGCATATCTTCATACATATGTTGATAAAACTTGTTCGTATTTTATATATGATTTTGTCTATAATAATTCGTTTATTACTTTCATTTCGTCGTGAAAAAATTTTAACAAAACAAGGATCAAAATATAATAGTTCAATAATAATTTCACAATGTGGATCAAAACGAATAATGCATTTTAATAGTTTATTAAATGGTTCCCAAGCACAAATTGATTTAAATCGAATTGATTATCCATGTTTTGATTATATTCAATTAATGATTACTTCTTTAATTTATTATCCATTTGTATTAGATGAAAAAAATATTTTAATTATTGGTCTTGGTGGTGGAACACTTGCACGTGCTATTAGAAAAATTTATCCAATGTCATTTATAACAATTATTGAAATTGATCCACTTGTTAATGAAATGGCACAAAAATATTTCTTTTTTCAAGAAGATTCGAGAATGAAAGTTTTTCTTATGGATGGACGAACATTTTTAAACAATTTATCAAATCAAAATCATTATGATATTATTTTTCTTGATGCATATGATTTTAATAGTGGATTACCTTCACATATGAAAACACAAGAATTTTTTTTTGAAGTTAAAAATTGTTTAAATCAAAATGGAGGTTTATTAATTGTAAATCTTGTTTGTATATATAAATCTTATTTAAATGTTCGTCAAACGATAAATTCTGTTTTTAATCAAACAAATTTAATAACATATCGTTCAAATGATTTTGTTAATATGATTCTTATTGCATCACCATTTATTCAATATACTCCAAATATAAATGAAAAAACTCAAATACTTAATGAAATCAAACAAAAATTATCAATTGATCCTTATTCGTTATTTAAAAGAAAAGAAGAACAATCTTCAAATAAAAATATTTCAGCAATAATTTATACAGATAATATGCAATGTCTTGAAAATGAACAAGAAATGTCATTAACACAATTTATTAGTGTTGTCTAAGATTTTATCACATTTTGAAATAAAAATATATTAAGAATTATTAATAAATTACCTTTTTGTTTTATAATAAAATATACATTTTTTGTCGATAGCTTATTGTATTGATTTGGAAAAGTATATTATTAAAATCCATTCAATATTTTTCGATTCAATGAATTTATCTTAACAGAAATATAGACAATATAATTCACAAAAATATTTCTATATAGATGCTTTGTTAATAGTATAAAAATAGTGATTTGACTAGTGATGAGAGTACTCAATCTATTACACAATATTTCATAACCTTACATTTTTTGACAGCATAATTTCAAACAGCATAGAATTCAGAGAAAATTCACATTATTTTACTTTTTGTGACGTCTGTAACTTTGTAAGGAAAAACCATAGAAAACGCGGCAACTCGTCATTGTGGTCACTACTCAAGTCACCATTTGTATATTGTTAACAAAAAACAAAAGTGTCTTAAACTTTTGATCCACACTACAAATATTGTTTTGAAATTTTATTTTATTAAAAAAAGCTTCTTTATTAATAGTTATGATAAATGTTATATGGACAATAAACAGAACCAACTATAAACAATTATGCATGTGTTTTTTTTCCTCAAATAACAAATAACTGTTTGAACGAAGGCCCTTCGAAGTCTAATGATGTTTTGTCAATATATAACATGTATATGTATTTTTCTACAAACCTTCGATTTGAAAAACATATATTGTAATAGATGTTTTTCAATATTAATCATTTCTCTCCCCTTTTTAACTTAAATTAAAGATTATTAAATTGATATTATCTTGAAAAAATGCAAAATCCATATATTTTATGTATTGAATCAGTTATCTTCTTATGTAAATATGATATTTTGAAAAACATTAAGATCAATATAAATTTGAATAACAAAACAGCTGAAACTATCTAATATACAATATGTAGAAAACAAAGAAAGCTGATTTTATAAGTCCTCTCTAAATAATTTGAGCATAAAATTTCTTGTTATTTCCTGTTAAATATATTAATAAAAACATCTGTTGATATAAATTTGATTATCTTGATCTAATATTGATTTTGTTCTTTCAGTTAACATTTATCGTAAATATTAGTAGATGAGATATGATTTTTAATAGAATACGAAATCTAAATCTAATAATAAATAAAAATTCAAATTTTTTTCTTTTTTTTTATTAAAAAACAAATCTTTATTTTGTCGAATTGCCTTTAAATTTTTTACATAGATCGAAATGCGTTCGATATTTCCAAATAATAATAAATAAAATAAAAATGAGAAATGAGAAAATAATCCGTATTTCGATTTTATCTTGAAATTGATTTAAAATAAATCCATCAACAAAATGCCATGATCTTCCAGTATAATGATGTACATAATTATTAACATTATCATCCGATAAAATCCATAATGGTTCTTTTTTTTCATTTGATAATTGAATATATTTTTTAAGAGTACGAGTTAAAAAAAATGAACCTGTTGAAAATACTTCTAAATAAGGAAGAAGAAATATTCGTTTATAAAATCTTAATGGAACTATTTCATGAAGAATATAGTTAAGTATAGGAGATGATTTTTGTGCAATAAGAAAATGATTGATAACGGATGAACCTGATGTTGAACGTGGAATAATTAATGATACATTTGATAAACGTAATTTTTCAACTTGTTCAGAACATGGAAATACATCTAAATCAGCATAAATTCCACCTTGAGCATGAAGAATTATTAATCGACCTAAATCAGCACGTTGAATTGAATAAATATAAGATTTATAGATTGAATATAAATATTTATAATCATTTGTTAATAATAAATTTTCTAAATCTTTATCTGTCCATAAACGAATTTTATAATCTGGATACATTTTTTTCCATTGAAAATAAGAATTATTTATTGGATATGTATTTAAATTTTCACTTTTCCACATTTGATGAATTAAACGAGGAATTGTACTTCTACTTTTATTCAATAAATTTATATCATATGATGTATCATCGATTCCATGCATATGATCAATTATTACTATTAAGATTAAAATTATTTGCCATAAAAATAATAAAATTACAATTAATAAAATTAACTTTAATACATTATTTCGAATATTCATTGATTGAGAAAATTATTCTAATAGAAACAAAGAAAAATATTAAAATAAAAATAGAAAAGAAAAAAAAAAGAATTCTATCTATTCTTTTCTATAGAAATCTAAAAGATTTTTCTTATCAATTCTATTCAAGACTAGATGACACACTCGTCTAGAAAGTATACTATAAAATTTCTATTGAACATTGATTAGCAAAACATTCATGGCTTTAAATATTTTGAGTACATCAGAAATAATTAAAAAAAAGAAAGAAAGAAAGAAAGAAAGAAAAAAAACTCGCAAAGAAATATGGAAATGTAGCGTTTTCCATTGCATTTCTAATGTTGAGTAATACCTGTTAAAATCTTGAGTTCTAATTACATTGATTTAAAGTAGAGAAGGAAAAAAACGTCATTTTATTGACATTTGTTCGTTTCTATCTAGTTAGATATTCTCGAACAATATTATTTATTTAAATAAGAAAAAGAAAAAATTATTTTTTTAATCAAAAACTAATTAAGAATTAAAGAATGAAGAATATTAAATGATACTATTCTTCTTTAAAAATTGCTTACTTATTTTCTTATTAGAATAAAATCAAATGAAAACGTAAAAGAAATCTAATACTAATATATAACAAAGAGGAAAAATAATTTCTATTCTTAGATTTCATTTCTAAATATTTACATATATTTTTTAAAATATCATCTAATCTTAATAATACTTTAGAAAAGAAGAAAAAAAAAGTAAAATTGATCGACTTATTTTACGAACAAAATAAACAATTACATTTAGTATTATTGTGGAGAATAAGAACAAAATTTTACCACTGTAAAATCTTAGAAATAATTGAGAATTTTAAAGACTTTGTTTATTCGAAGTTAGAAAGGTTAATTTATATAATAGATAGAAGTGAAATATTCTTTTTTTCTTCTTCTTCTTCTTCTTCTTTTATGTTAATATGAAGAAAAAATTGTCGTTACCTGTAATAATATTAAATAGAAGAAAATGAAAGAAAAAATTATCGAAATTGTCCCTTAAGCAATAGAAAAAATTTCTTACCACTTAAATATTTTGATCCGCAATAATAGAACTAAAACTAATTTTACTTTTTTAGAGTTATCAAAATATGAATAAAAACAAAAGAAAAATCATCGGAAAGATATGAAATTCTGCGTTATCTATAAGAGAAACTTTGTAATAGAACATTTCTTTTCTTCTTCTTCTTCAATCGATTAAAATAACATACGGAGTAATGATGACTCTTAATGAACACCTTGAGGATGTTGCTATAGCCTAGTTTTTTCTTCTGTTTTACGATGAAGAGAATAGAAGAAAAGAAAAGAAAAAGTACAAGTTAAAAATACACACCTAACTTTATTTTGTATCTTTGTTTATTCAACCCCACTTTTACAATGATTCATAAATGAAAAAACTATTGAACAAACAGATGAAATATGTCATCTATATTCAATAAAAAACATGTCTTCTATATATTTATCTTATTTCAATTCATAGTTAATCAAACATCATAAAATTCTATCATATATATATAAAGAATATATTGTTGAAATCAATTGTTATTATAAGACATACAATATGTTGCTAAGAAACTCACATTATTACATCTAATATAAACATTTTAACTTTAGGTAGAAAAATTAAAATATGTTATAGAAAATATATCCTTGAAAGAATATTTTAATTCGATATTAATAAATGAAAATGAAATATTTAATCCTTTAGAGCCGAGGGGACCCACCGATGAATCTCACTACATTATAAGAAGAAACTGAGTAGAAAGATTTTTTTTACTCAAGAGGTTAGACATAATATAGTTTGATATTTCTCATTAAAACAATCAATAAAAAACGTTTTTTATTTTCTATACTAACGCATAGCTCACTTCTATTGATTGTTATTATCTGATTTTCTTCTAGAAGTCAGTAGAACGTCTTCAAATACTGCATTCATATCCTTCAATTTCATCTATCTTCTAATTAATAAGTTTACACTTTAAATGATTTGTTAATTACTGTTTCGGACTATGTTTCACCTTCTCACATGATCTACCAAGTAGTAAAAATCGTAAAAAACTTTGATTAAATTACGACATGGTCATATACCTTTCTTCATAATTATTCTTGTAAAATAAATAACTACTAATTATTGCTCTTCCAAAGATCATTTACTCATTCTAACAAAATCCTTATCCAAAGAATTTATATTACTTAAGAAGTTTTTACTATCGATTTCTCAAAATGAATCCTAAATCGACTTGAAACTTAAGCTGTTGTGGTACACATGAGTAGAAAGAATCATGACAAATGCTACGAAAAGAATGCAAAAGCAAAAGCAAGAAAAATTTCGTTTTATTGTCTTATTTCTATTGCGTCAGACATACGTACGTACGTATGTATCTACGTAAGAAAAATAAAGTAAATAATGACTCAATTGAATGTGAAAGAAAATCATCTATGTTGTAATGCAAGCAAGAAAAAGAATAACGAATGGCTGCACACATTGAAAAGATCAACCAATATACTTATATCGAGTGAATACATATGAAAATGAATATGTTAACAGCTATTGTCGTCACAACTTGAATAAATTCAAAAGTGTTACTTATATTTACTTTAGAAAAAAAATATTATTTTAAACCACAGTTACAATCTTGTTAATACAAGATATTTTACGAAAGAATATTTATCAATAGAAAATTTTCATCTTTGATAATTATTTAAAATATTATAAAATTAATTTATTTTGAGAAATGAATGAAGAAGATAATTTAATCTAAATAATATTTATACAAGAGTATGTTATTCAATAGAATAAGATTTACAATTAGTTTATATATTGAATTTCCTTATTATGAAAATGTCAATGAAAACTAAATAATCGAATTATTTATTAAACAAATAAATACAATTTCAACTGGGGATAATTATACCATTTAAGTGATCATTAGAGGAAATGTTTTTGTATGTAAATTTATCGATTAAGATTTATGTTAAGGTGTACTCTACACTATATTAAATTGAGATTTAAATAGAAAAATAGTAAATGAAATTGATATTAAGAAGAAAGAAAAGTTAATTATTTTACAATCAATTTTACAAGAACAATATCAAAAAAAAAGATAAAGTTATTTTTCTATAAAAGAAATTTTATTGAAATGAAAATGATAAATTTAATAAACATATGTATTAAGATATAATTTGAAAATGAATGTCTTTTATTTTATCAGATATTAATATTAATTGATAATAAAATTTTTCTTTCTATTAACATAACATATAAAGATTGACACAAAATATTTATGTTTATTCACCTTGATTTATTCTTCTCGACATATGTTGCAAAATAATATTTTGTTTTATGATTTAAATAAATAACATTGTAGAATTATCTTATTAATTAGATTTTATGCAAAACTCTTAATCAATTAATATTTCTATCGATATAATTTTCGAGGGGTAACAAATGTGTTCTTCTATTGTAACATCTGTTAGAAACTTATGAAATTTTTCAAATAATTTTTTTTCATAAGAATGAATTGATGGTAAATGACTCGTATGCATATATATATATTTATTCTGGCACGTAATAAAGATGTATTGCAAAACACATTATCCATATGTTGTTATTTTCTTATTTATATATAAATAAATATCATTTGCCTTTTTATTGTTTTTGTTTTTATTTGTTAAAAATACAAATTCAAGGTTTTTTTCATATTAATATATTAGAGATTGATTAGAAAAAGAAAGTAGGAAATATTTATTTATTTTTTTAATAATCTAGTCAAACTGGTGAATTTTTATTGTCAAAAAGAAAAAAAGAAAAAAAGAGAAAAAGTCGAATTTGAATCAGAGTAATCATATGTAAGATGAAAATGTTTAGTATATTCTAAATATAAAAATTGTAAATATGCATTAAATATGAAAATAGTTGTGATAAAAAAAAAAAACTAAAACGATGAAATAAATTAATTATAAGTATAATTTTGTGTTGTTGGACATGGTTCTTGATTATTTTTATATTCAAGTAAAATGTCATATTGATAAATCTGTTCATTATTAGATTGTAATTCATCACCAATAATATTAAGACCTTCAGGAATTAATTGTATTTTATCATTTAATTGTTTATTATCATTTGAGGGTGTTATTGTAAATTTCGCTGATGATATTGTTTCTTTATATTCATATTTCATTGATTTTGTTTTTGCATTTTTAATTATTAAACGAATTGAATATGATGCTGAATCACGTTTTTGTGATAAAATTTTAACTTCACGTACAAAACTAACATCAGGATCCTCACCACAATCTAAATTTTGTTTTTCACCTTGTGAAAGATCACATAAATGAGCTTGTCCAACAACTCTTCCATCTTCACGTACAGTAACAGTACCTTTGGGTAAAAATTTATCTGATTCAATACGATATTTTCTTTGGAATTTTCCTTTTTGTGTTCTTTCTTGAAAACAATTTTCTAATCCAGCATATTTTTCTAATTTGATATTTGGTTTAACAAATGGAAGTGAATATGTTGATTGTTGAACAAGAACAAATGGTTGATCAATTGAATACCAATATATTCCAGCTAATTCACCTTCAGCTTCAATTTTAGGAGCACCTGATGCACAACTACAACAACAACATTCTTGAGCACAATAACCATAACCACGAGACATCTGTCCTGATCCTTGAAGATGAACATCACCACCAAATAATTCCGTATGTTTGATTTTATAATCACGTTTTGTATTATTTGTCATATCAGCCCAAGCATCAAATTGATAATTATCAGATTCAACTTTTAAATTATAACGTGGTGACCATGTTATTCCTTTTATTTAATAGAAGAATAAAATAAAATAAAATAAAATAAAATAAAATAATTTACCATGAATAAGATATGACAGTGTTGCTTCACCAGCTTGTTTTAAAGCAAAAGTAACTTCTTGTCCTTCTTCTTCTGGAATATTAACATATTCAAGTTCATGTTGTTGTGCACGAAGAAATCGACCAGTTTTAACAACTTTTAATAATAAATCATTTGGTCGAATAACTTGACATTCAATTGGATCTTCACGTGGACGACGAACAAAAACTGTTTGATTTTCTAAATTATTTGCTTTTGTTACACTATTTTGACTAATTACTTCAATTCCTTCAACACTAAGACTTCCATTAACAATTTGATCATAAACTTCACGTGGAAAATACATTTTAAAATTCTTCAAAAAACAAAATTATATAAAAGAATATTTTTATTAACTAATTACCTGTGGTGCATTGAATTTTTCTCGAATTTCGGTAAATGATGGATAAATTCGAAGTTCAGTAAATGATGGAAAGATTTTTTCTTTATCTTTATCTTTTCCATTACTTGAATCTGTACTCATTTTAGAAAACTTTTCCTTTCTTTTTTTCTTTATCTAAAAATAATTATTAAAAAAAGAAAAAAAAAATCAACAAATATTATCATATATGTCCTTTGATAATTATCTAATTTACTTCTCCAATCAACCAGAAATTTACCAATAAGGTTTTTGTCGTATTTTATATTGACTGAAGAATGTTTAACGGCATTTGCAATTTACAAACGATATAAAAAGGAAATATCGACAGAGTCTTAATTGACTTGCTTATTCATGTAATAACATGAAAAACTCATATAACTTGCTTTTTTTTTCTTTTTTTTTCTCCTGTCGGATTGATTGACAAAAATAATCATAAATAGAAGAAAGAAAGAAAAACAAAGATATAAACGAGGTTTCTTTTTTCTTCTTTCATTCTGGTTTCTCTTTGATAGAATAAAAGAGCAGTAGCAGTAGTAGTAGTATCGTTCTTCTGTTTATTTGATGAATAAAATGAAAGATGGCTCTGCCTTTATATCAATATCCAATAGAAATTTGAAAAAATTATTTACACCAAAATAAAAAAAAAAAAAATAAATAGAAGAAAAGTGCAAGTTATAAAAAAAAGTCGTGTGCATTAGAAAGAAATGGTTATAAACTAAATACTTAAAATAAAAACTAATCTTGTGGAGAATTTGTTGATTTTATACGATGTTGATCATTTAACATAGACATTGTTGAATTATTATTTCTAGAAGAAATAAAAAAATAAAATTAGAAAGTTTAAAAATTAAAAAATAAACTTTGATTGTTGATATTTATTATTTGAAGATGATGTTCGTGTTTCTTTAACAACAGTTGGATAAATAGGTGGACGATGTCCAAAACGATTAAGTGCAGAATACATTTCATTTCTTTGTAATGTTCGTTGAAATACTTTTGCCTTGAGAAAAAACAAAAAGAAAAGATTTGTTTTTTTTATTTTAAAATCGAAACAAACTTGTTCAGCTAATTGTTCATTTTTTGCTTTACTTTCTTCAAGCATTTGACGACTTTTTTCTAAAACTTCTTCTTCTTTAGTTGTTGTTGTTGCTGTTATTTGAGAAGTAGTTTCATAATCATTTGAAATTGTTAGATTTGTCTGTTGGTGTTGACGTTCAGCTGAAGGTGAACGACTATTAAATGTATTTAAACGATGAATACCTATTTGAATAGAAATAGAAAAAGAATAAAATATTAGATTTTATTTCGTTTTTACCTGAATATTGTCGACGATGTTGTTTTGTTGATAATTCATTTAATTGTTCAACAAAATCTCGTTTATTATCTATTAAATAATAATAAAATCAAAAAAAATGAAATATTTTAGTATAAATCTCTACCTTGATCAACTGATAATAAAGCTGAATTGGGTCGTTCACGAGTTAATAATTTTGTACCAGGAATGGATGATCCGGTTGCTGTTAATTCTAAAAATAACAAATCTGATTTTTAATCGAATAGAAATTTTAACGCGTCATTTAATTGAAAGAAGTTTCTCAAAGAAATATTTATTTAAATTCTAAAGATTTTATTTTGTCTATGAATTATCTGAATGAATAGATTTAATAAGATGAACATACGTTTTCTTTGTGGAACAGCAGCTGAAACAGGTCTTGAAACTCCATAAAGTTTATAAATTTCATCTTGTTTTTTTTGATTATTTTTATTTTTTGTTGCACTTGATGTTCTTGATAAACGTCTTTGTGATTGATTTTGTGTTGATAAAGTTGCCCAACTTTGTGATGATTGATCATTTGATGTAATTGTTTGAATAATTGTAATACTTTTTTCTTCTATTGAATGTTTAGGTAAAATTGTTTGAGCATGTTGATCAGCTCCAACATCAGAATTTTGTGAAGTTGCTTTTATTAGTTTTGGATTCACACCTAAATGTACAGCTGAATTTGGATTTGTTTTCATATAAGCAGTCATCATTTGTTCAAGATCAGCTTCAGAAGCAGAACGAAGAAAATTTTCAAATAAACGATTATCAATTTGATTTGTTGAAAAAATTTGATTTTGATATTGAGTCACAGTTTCTTTATTATATAAATGAAGAAAATCACATAATTCTTTAGCTAATATTCGTTTTTGATCAGATTGTGAAAGACGACGTGATGGAATTTCAACACGAAATGGTGGTGAAAGATTTTGACCAGCTCGTTTTAAAAATCTTATTACTAAATCCATATGTTGAGTTGATGTTACTTCTTCTTTAAATTCGGAATCAAGCATCAAACGAAATTGAATTCGTTGTAAATATGTTCCAAATGCTGTACGAGCTTGAAGTGGACTATTGATTTAAAAAGAAAAATATAAATCATCTTTTTTTTTATCAGAATATTAACAAAATCGATGTTATATATTTCATTTTTTCTTATAGAAAATTAGACTAGAATGAAAAGTGTAATATAATCGAGATTCTCATCTGTATATTATCGCTTTGATTGACAGTCAATGTTATATAAACAAATAACTAAGTAATGATAATTGACAGCATAGATAGATTAATGGAGAATTTATCTTTTATAGTACTAATATGACATATAATATATCTCAAAGTTATGATCACGTAAGAAAATGAAGTATATTTACTTTGGTACAGTGTGAACAGTTCACTTTTTGCTTGATGATAGAGGAATACTAAGAAAGAGTTTTTATGGCTACAAAAAAAACTTAAAATTTTTCTTTTTCAGTTTTTGATTTTATGTACTATTCTCCGTATGATTTGTTTAGGTTATCCTTACAGAAAGGTATTTGATATTGCCAGGTTTAGTAAAACGAAGGAAAAATATTCAAGCGAACAGAAGTGCGTGACCTAGAAGACTAAAAAAATCGAAAAACTTTTTTTCGAAAGAAAATTACAAGTTTAAAGCTTGTATATTTTGATTAAATATAAGAACATTATTCGTAGTCCATATAAACTTTAGGTATCTCGAGTCTATTATCATGCAGAGAGTGAGCTGTCCAGGCTGTACTGGAATGGAGATACTTCGAATGTTTTATATTAAAATTTTCAAGATATAGTGCATTGCTCGTTAATACTTATTTATGTTTTTAAAGGGTAAAGAATGAGAAGAGTTTTGTGAATATTTTCTATGAAAATAAAATAAAATAAATTATTAACCTTAAAGTTAAACCTTGATTAAGCATTTGAAGAATATCATTTTTAGCATAAACAGAATGTCTATTTTCACCAGGTGCTGTATTAGTATTAAGTTGTTGTTGTTTAACTAATTGTCCAACTGAAGCTAAACGTTTTGATGGTGAATCATTTCTATTTTGTTGTTTTGTTACAATATGATTAATTGGTGCTGATACTGTTCGATGTAGATTTATTCGAGATTGATTTTGTTCAATACTATCAATAACTATTTGAGGTTTAGAAATTTTTTCTGAAAATTTCGGTTGTTCCATAATATCTGATGCTGCTGTTGTTGTTGTTGTTATTGTTGTTAATGTTGAAGGAGGTGGAACAATATCAATTAATCTTCTTTCATAAATTCTATATCTTTCAAGAGCTTCATCTAAATCACAACCACTTGTTTTTGGTGTTAAATCTTTCTCAGATGAATGACCATAATTAAATGCTGATGAAAGATGTTTTGAACGTGGTATTGTTGTACGACGAATTTGTCCTGTTGGATTTTGTTGAGAATTTAATGCTGATGTTGACCATCGGGATGGATAAAGACGTTGATGAATCATTTGATTATATGATGTTGTTCGTTGTTCAAAAAAACTTGAAAAATATTCAAATGTATCACTCACAGGAAATATTCGAACAAAACCACCACGTTGACGATTTTCCTCTTTTACTGTTCGTAATATACGAATTTCTTCAGGTGATAAACCAAAATATTCACCACGAGAAATTTCATTTCCTTGATTATTATTATTATTATTATTTGCATTATTTGTATTATTATTATTATTTCCTGAACGACTTTGACGATTCGCTGTTGTTGCACGTGCACCACGTGAATTACTATTTGGATTTGTTAAAGTTGGTGTTAATGAATAACCAGCAGATATTGGACGACGCTATTAAAAAATTAGTTTTATTTTAATAATATTCAATAAAAAGAAAATTCTATAGATATATTTCCTATTTTTAATATATTCATAATAAGATTTAACTATTTGGAATTAGTAATCATGAAATATATCATTAGCCTTAATATCACTAATCGAGGTTCAAGTGAATCCTTCAAAGTAGAGCTACTTATTAATGTAACATCGTTTGAATTCGATCTTATATGAATTTATTCATCTTTAAAAGTATTCTAGAAACTTTGTATTACGTTACGAGCATCCGAAATTAAACTGAATTTATAACAATATTTGAAAATGTTCCTTGTCAATCTGAAGATTATTTCTCTAACATCTTGATCGCAGCTTGTCTAATAAATGTTACATCGAAAGAGGATGAAAAGCAACGTTACCATATTTGTCCAAGAGTGTATAATAAGAAAATTGCTACACAATGTTCTACTTGTCATTTTTCTTGCGATTCGAATCATCACAAGTTAATTTGTAGCTTTCACTTTTCTAATCACTTAATGAAAATAAGAAATAAAGATGACGAGAAAAAGTTCTTCCTTCAATTCTATCTCGAATTACATTTCGTACACAATTCTCACACATACTTCATAACTTGACAGAAATTTTAGTGTATTCTATTGGAAAAATCTCTAAATTCGATATTATTTTTGAGAGAAATTTTTTGTCTATATTGCTTAACAATATGGTAATATTTCTGATTATATAAGACTTTCATTGTTTTTTTTTCTTACATCTACTTGACATATATTACATCTGATATTTCTATTTCTTTTTTTTCTTGTTATATATGATAACTTATTAATTATTTTGTAAGATTTAATAAAGAAAATAACTTTCATGATTCGTTTTTTTTGATTGTTGTAATAATGTTGAATAGGTTGTTAGATATGAAATCATATATAATCAATGAATATTTAACTAAATGTAGGAGTATTTGTTTAACTCTTATGGTTTCATTTCTTTGTCTAGGTTATTAAAAATCAATGGAATAACTTTGAAATATTTCATTCTTTTTCTTTTTTTTTTGACTTTGCATTTTAAAATAGAAAAAAAAATAACTGTAACTAACTCGTTTAAATTGATCAGATTGTAAATTTGAATCTTTGTTTTGTTGTTTTAATTTATTTGAATAAATAGCTGGATCAATACAAGGCATTGATGTTAAATTAAAAAGATCACATATCATATGAGTTTTGATTTTTAAATCAATTGGGGCATCACTTATTTAAATAGAATATTTCATTTTAAAAACAGAATATTAAATAAATAAATAAATACATACCAACCCAATGATGGAGATAAATTCACTTCAAGTACCCATGGTCTTAAATCATCATCAATTAATATATCAAAACCATAAACCTCTAAAAAAATATCAAAGATTTTTTTAAAAAAACATTTATTAGTTTATTTTTTACCGAAACAATTTCCTCTTGTTGGAAGAAACATTCTACATGCTGCTGATATTTGAGATTCAACTGAAAGTAATGTTTTAATACAAACATCTTCAATTGCCATCATTAAACTAAATGTATCTTTTCCTTCAGCTTTTAATAAACGTAACATTGCAGACATTGACCATTTATTTCCAAAATCTTCTATATCAGGATCATCACATCTATTTTAGATATTTTGAAATATATTTTCAAGAAAATATTCGATTTAAATATACCTAACATATCGATGACTTCGTTTATTAACACTATAATTTGTTAAATGCATAAATGCATTTTTAATACTACGACAATTTGGATCATATTTAACTGTTGCAAATCTTTTTTTTTAATGAGAAAAAAATAAAATATATATATATTTATTTATTATAATAAAAATCTGCTCACCTTGTTAAACCTTCTTCATAAAGATAAGCAACAAGTGGATCATAAGAAGTAACGGCAACATAAATTCTAACATCAAATTTATATCCTAAATTTGAATAATAAACATTTTTTTTTAAAGAATTCATAAATATAAAATACCATCAATAAGAAGTGGATTATCAATATATCGACTAATAACAAGATTTTCATCTAATGGGACTTGATCAGGCTAAAAACAAACAATTCATATTTTCAATTAATTATTATAAAAATATAAATTTACATGATTAATTAAAAATATTCCTTTTCCTTGAGATGAAGCAACTGGTTTTATTATCCAAACACCTTTTTCACGGTGAAATGCAGCTAAATTATAGAAAACAAAAATTTCTTAAAAGAAAATCTTTAAATTAAAAATTTACCCGAAAAATCTTCAAATTCATATGGTAAAAGAAATGTTGTTGGAATAAAATTAAAATTTTTAACTCCTTTTTCTTGTTGCATTTTTTGAACATTTTTATAAAGACGATCTTTACGTGTCATTTCATATGATCTTTAATAGAAAATCATTTATTTTAATAATAAAATCTCGATAAATTGTTACCTTGGAAAATGATTAACACGTTGAAATGGATTAAGTGATCTTAAAGAAAATGGTTTCATTCCTCCACCAGTCCATAAGATATTAAATTCTGAACTAGCTGGATGAACTTCACGAAATCCATGTCCTTCAAGAATATTTCGTATTAATTTTGTATCATTTTTAACAAATTTAAATGTTAATGAATGTTTTTCTCCAATTTTTTTCGCTTCTGGACATCGACCATAAACAACTTTAGGTGAAAACTGTATTATTGGTGTACGTTTTAAACCATAACGAATTAAACGTGGTATAAGAGCTTTACATTGTCCATTTTGTTGATTATCTTCATTAAGTTCATCAAAACTTTCTTCTTCACATTCAAGAATTTCATCAGGTGAATCGTCTCCACCATCACCAATAGCTGAATCAACACTTGATGAACGTGGAACTATTTCATCACAATTATCAACATTTCCAACTACCGAAGTCATCAATCTCTTTTTTTCTTTATTTATTTCCTATTTCAATTTATTATTTCGAACCATCATCGATTTTTGTCACCATCCATCGATTCTAATTCCTTAACATTACACGAATTAAACCTCTACAAATTTTTCTATTAAGAAAATTAAATGATTTTTTTCTTCATTTTTTAAACAAATTTCTTAAACTTTATATTTTAATTTCTATATTTTTTTCAATTATTTTTATTTATGAAAAATATAGCGACATCTACTTGAAGAACGCTTTTACAACTATTAAGACGTGCCAATGTTATATTAAATTAGAGTGTTTATTCCTTCCTCATTAAATCAATCAAAATCCCTCAAATTCATAATTAATTCTATTGAAATCGATATGATTAAAAAAATGTAAATGCGCTATTATAACCAAGATTAGATGGTATTAGTCATCGACAGTCTTTATCTCTAATATCATAAAAAACTTACGAGTCCCTACTTGTACTATGTTTTCTTTTGACTATTGACATAAGAAGGTATACGTATCACCAATGTGTTTTATTTTCTTAGGAATATACTATTGATATCTTAATTATAGCCATTCACTAATTCTACTTTTTAAGAAGTAATATGTGTAACAAAATATGTTTGTTAGCAATACTTTATAATTGAATGTCGTTTTTCTGTAACACTTCTATATAGACTAAATGTTGATCTATTGAAATTAATGTTCATTATAAAAATCAACAAAGAATAATAGAAATTCGAATATTTATTAGATTATAGAATTACAAATTTTTCTTTTTATAATTATTTTATTAAAAATATTCAAATTAAACAAGTGTACCGAAACATTGTTCATCATGACAATCATTTGTTGGATAAGTATCTGGAATAATTTGTGTTTCAGTAGTTAATTCTAAAACAGTTCCATCAGGACCAGGAAAATTAACTTGAATAAGAAAACCTTCCCAACCATCACGTGGATTTTCGATAGTTAATGAATAATCAATTGTTGTGTTTGTTTCATTCTAAATTTTTATCAAATAAATATTTTCTTATGAATAAATTTAAAAATGTTAACCTCTATAACAACTGGAGTATTAAACCAAAATACTGGATTTGCGTATGCCTTTGTTGGATCACTAGGATTACCAATAAGAAGACGAAAATCTCGTCTAGAATATTTTTATTATATAAATGAAAATATTTTTTAAAGAAAATAATCTAACCTTTTATCAGTAAGTGTACGAGCACGATAACCATAAGCACTTATTGGTCGAGGTCCAACACTAAAATCTACAGTTGCACGAATATATCCATGAGTATTATTCGATGTTTTTATCCATTGAAGTTTAGGTAATGGTCGATTCTTTTAAAATAGATCAATTATTTTTTAGAAGAAAAGAAAAACATTTTTATTTTTGTATACATCATAAATACTCATGTAAAAACTTCTCATTGTAAAAAATAAACTTGTTATATGACCAACACAGACATGATCAGCATTTGGCATACGCCTATTGATTTTTAAAGAATTTTTTATAAAATTTAAAATTGATAAAATTACCGAAGATATGATCCACCTGTAGCATCTTGAAGTTGTTTCCAAAAAGCAGCTTAAATAAAATAAAACAAAATCAAATCAAATAAATTAAAAATTTTAATAATCTAATCATATCTCATTATCAAGAAGAAAAAATTCATCACCAGTTGCTTGAATTTGTAAGAGTTTCATTTTAGAAAATCGATCAATATAATCTATAGGAAAATAAATAAAATAATATTTTCAAAGAAATCAATACAAACATAATGGATCAATAATTTCAGATAATTTTGTCATATTTTCATTATCAACAAATTGAGTTATATTTAATTGATAATAATCTTTAAATGCAAATGTCCAACCAGCCAAAGACTAAAGAAATTTTCTAGAAAATTTTTATTTTAGCAAAAATTTCAACTTACTCTATACATATGATGTAAATTCTATTAAAATGAAAAATAAAAATAAAATTCAATATTATTTTATTTTATCTTACAGTTCGAAAATTTAATACATCCATAACAATAGGTATAGCACCAACAACTCGCTCAGTATCAACAGCAGCAGTTAACCAAGCTAAATATTTTAAATAAATAATAAATAGAAAATAAATATAACTTACTTGCCCATCCACGCTATTAATCATTATAAATATCAATTTAAAATATTTTGTTCGGAGAAGAAGAAAAAACAAAACTTTACTTTTGAAGCACCTGCAACAACAAATTTTTGTGGTGTAGTAATATTTTGTTTATCTGTAAATTGTTGAACAGCATCCATTGCACGATATGCAGCCTATGTATTTATCATTAATAATAATAATATAAAATTATTTTTTCGATACTTTTGTCATAGGTAAATTTAAAGGTACATAAATATTTGAGGAATTTTCAATAAAACTTCTCCATGTCCAACCAATTGATGCATCATCTCCACGAGTTCGATTTGTTGGATCTCCCTATTATTAAAGATATTTATTATTTATTTATCTCAATTAAAATTAACTGTAAAACGAATAGGTCCATTTGGAACATCTTGAAGATCAACAGCAATACTTCCAATACCGACAGCAACCATTGCTGTTAAAGCAACAAAATCATCTTGTGGTTGTGGAATACTAATAGTATATTAAATATAATATTAAAGATTTTTTGAATATTTTTATTTACCGATCATTATTACTTCCTTGATCAATAAGCATATAAGCAGAATTAGGTCGTGTTATTTTATTTGGTACAGTAATACAAAGATAATGCCACCATATAGGTCGTGATGAATATGTTTCTTTAAAATAGAAAATGTTTTTTTTTTAATTTCGTAATTATTTTCAATATTTACCATCAAGCCATTTTTGTGAAGTAAAATTGAGTACGTATAATTTATAATCTATTTCTTCATAGGTACGTATTAAACTCCAACCAAAATGAGGATCTTCAGCACGAACATAATCATCCAATGGAGTTGAATAAGATTTACTAATAACTATGAATATTAGTAAACAAAAACTTAGAAATAATTTATTTTGATACATTTCTCCAACAAATAGAAATATCAAAATATAATTAAACAAAGAAAACTTTCTCCCAGGTATTTATTTTTCTATTATCTTATTCTTGATTATTTTAAATAAATATTTTTATCTTATATTATCTACGCCTATCAGAGTTAAATGAATTTATTTGCGTAAATATCCAAAAATTCTATTTTTACTTCTATAAATATTCTCATCCTTTAATGCTTGGAATATTTTAATAAAGTAAATTTATCATAAATGATCATATGTTTAGAACAGATATCTTCCAATTAAATATTTAACAGTGATTTGTTGGTTGATAGAAATACTTTTTAAGTCTCATAATGGTTTACTTTTATTAATGTAGAATATCTTCGTGTGTTTATGAAAAGTGTCTTTTTTGTAAGAAACCTTTTTTATGAGATTTTTCTAATCCGAAAGCTAAAATAATGATGTAGAACATGAATTCTATCATAACGAAAAACAAAAGATGTAATAAACTTTAGTTTTATAACTTTATTACGCATTGTTTCCCTTAATCTATGAATGCTTTTTTGACATTTAAATTTGTGTGTGTCTTCTATATATGATTATATCAAAGATAACGTAGAAAAAAGGTCTACAACAAAGGTATATATAATAACGTATGTGTATCTTGTTATACTTGCTATATAGAAAAGGACATTGAGAAAGTTTAAATTACATTCAAGAAGATATTTCCGGTTTGTTTAGAATTATATCCTATTAACACTAAACAAACTCGAATTCATGAGATGCTGATTAGTAAGTATAAAAATAGACATTCAGTTTTTTTTATAATACACACAATATTTGAGAACATTGACATATAATATTAATATACAGATAGATTATATTTTTTGTTATTATTTTTTAAATTAATTTTATAATTTGTAATAATGTAGATTCAGATTTTATAGATAGTTAGATTTATTTCTTTGCTAGAATTTATAAAATAGTTTTTTAAAAATTTAGACAAATTTACTTCTATAGAATCCAATTGATTTATCTTAAACACGAATGATCTTGCAGACTCTTAACTCTTCATCTGTTGACAAGCATACAAGTGTATATAGAAAGATAGCTCTGCGACTTCATACTCTTACATGTCGTGCAAATTTTTATAGTCTATATAGCTTACAGACCCATGCCTTATTATCTTCTTTTCTTGTTATCATACTCTGTTAAGAACCTGTGATTAACCCTAAAGAACAGCATTGGGACCTGCCGCCTTTTAGAAGTGATTAGTTGAATAATTGACCAATGGGAAAAGAACTAATATAAATGAACAATACGATCTTATAAACCTATTATATTATTTAATACTAAACGTATAATTTCTATTATTTGTAGTTTATGAAAAACTAGAAGAGAATAACGAAGAAAAAAGAAATGTTCTCGTCTTCCAATAGCAACGATTATATTGATATTAAAAATTTATTGTAGATTAATATTTATCTGTCATATTGAGAAATTTGACTTGCAATAAGATGGAATTTTTACAACAACTTCCATATTCATCAATTGCTGGTGCTCTTGAATATCAAGCACAAACAAAACCAGAAAAAACTGCTATACTTTATCCCGATTTAAATAAAGATTCAAGAGAATATGCATCTCTAACTTATAAACAATATAATAATGTTACTAATTATTTAGCTGAAAAAATTTCCAAACATTTACCAAATTCTTCATCAAATGAATTATTAACATGTGGACTTTTAGCAATAGGTGGTTTAGAATATTTATTATCTCAATATGCATTATTAAAACTTCCTAATGTTATTATGTTTCCAATATCTGCAAGAAATTCTCAAGCAGCAATTGAACATTTATTAAAAGAAACAAAAACAGTTGTTTTATTAACAACATCTCAATATTTACCAGTGATAAAAACAATTCAACAAGAACAAAAAGAACTTCAATCTTTGAAAATTTTACTTTTAGATAGTGAAGATTTTCAAATTGAAGAAATATTAAAAAATAAAGATATTGAATATTCGATATCAACAAGTGTTAATACAATCGAGAAAAAGAAAGATGATGAACTTAATAAAGTAGTTGTTATTCTTCATAGGTTTGAATATAAGAATTATTTTATATTCTTATTATTATAAATTTATATTTCTAGTTCTGGATCTACAGCTCATCCAAAACCAATTTATTTAACAAATCGTTATTTTTTAATTAGTTATTCTTTTTATTTATCTCTTACTAAAGATTTTTGGAAAGAAGATGATGTTATATTAACATGGGGAGCATTGTAAACTTATTTTTTTATTATATTTTTATTCCTAATATTTTTTCCTAATATTTATTAGATTTCATCTATTGGCTTTTACTGGAACCGTACGTTCTATTGTAATTGGATGTACATATGCATTACCACTTTGTATTAGTTTTCCACCGAAACCAGATGAATTATTACACAATATACAAGTTAAAAATGGTATTACAGTTCTAATTTCAGTACCAACTTTACTAGAACAACTTGTACGAGAATTACTTTCAGAAAAAAATGTTCATATTGGATTAAAACCATTACAAAAATTGAGATTTGTTACGTATGCTGGAGCTGGTTGTCCAGATGAATTATGTAAAACTTTAGTTGATAATGATGTTACCTTATTAAGTGGTTATGGTGCTACAGGTATTTTATTTATCATTATCTTTTTCATTATTTAACATATTTTTATTGTAGAAACCGGTGTTGTTCTTTTCACTAATTGTAATCCTTACAATAAAAGATGGAAATTTATGCAACTTGCTGATATTCGAAAACCTTTTGTTCGTATTGAAACGCCTCCAGATGCTCAAAGTCCAAATGAAAAAATCTTAATTCATTTACCAAATGATCCATATTTAGCAGAAAATATTTCTAATACTCCTGATGGTTGTTATGTTGTTGGTGATATACTTCTTGAAGATCCACCTAATTCGGGAGAATATAGAATTTTAGGTCGTCAAGATGATACTTTAGTTCATATTACAGGTGAAAAAACAAATCCAATACCAATGGAATATACAATTCGAAGTTCACCACTTATTAAAAATGTTGCTATTATTGGTCATAATCAATTTTGTACAGCTGCTTTGATTCAATTAAATATTGAAGAAGCATCAAATTATGATTTTAATGAAATAGAAGAAAGTGTATGGAAAATAGTACAAGAAGCAAATAAAGAAGCACCATCTCATTCACGTCTTGTTCGACAACTTGTTAAGATTTTACCAATGAATAAAACTTTATTTGTTACACATAAAGGAAATTTAATGAGACAAAAAATTAATCAAGAATATTCAGCATTAATTAGTAATATTTATGATAAATTTTTAAATCAACAATATCAGGAAAAACAGCAACAACAACAACAACAAAATCAAACTATCGGAGAAAAAAAACAATCTAAATGGACAAAAGCAACAATTGAAAAATATCTTGAAGAAAAATTAAAATCATCTCTAGGAAATATTATTGATTATTCGCAATCAATCTTTAATTTTGGAATTAATTCTTTACAAATTATTGAATTAAGAAATTTCATATGTCAAGATATTTATGAAATACCAAAAAATTTTCTTTATGAATATTCTTCAATTGATCAAATAGCTGAAAAATTAATTGAATTTATAGAAAATGGAAATGTTCAGAATCAAGAAGATGATCCATATCATTATAAATTAACTGAACAGATTATTGAGAAATATATTCATTTAACTAAAACAAATGAAATTTCAAAAAATAATATAAGAAAAAATCAAATGTCAGAACGTGTTTTTCTACTTACAGGTGCTAATGGTTCATTAGGATGTTTTATTCTTCAAAATTTACTTAATCAATCACAATCAATTGTTAAACGTGTCTATTGTCTTTTACGTGGTTCAAATACAAAAGAACGTCTTTTTGAATCATTTCAACAACGACAATTAGATATTTCTATTCTAACAAAATCATTAGAACAACAACGTCTCATTATTTTATCATCATCAATGAATTTAAGTGAAGAACATTTCGGACAATCTGATCATGTCTATCAAGAGTTAAATAATAATATAACCGATATTATTCATTCTGCATGGAAAATGAATTTTAATCAAACTATAAAAGATTTTGAATATGATTCAATACTTGGAGTTTATAATCTTTTAAAATTCTCATCTTTAAATAATATTCAATTTCATTTTATTTCAAGTATTTCATCAGCTGGATCAGGTCTATTAAATATTATTCAAGAAGAACCATTACCAAGAAAAGCAGAAATTGCATTACCACAAGGTTATGGACAATCGAAATATGCAAGTGAACATTTATGTTGGGCAGCAATGAATTTTTGGAGTAAATTTCATTTTTTTCTTTCAAATATGGAGTTTATTTTTTTCCTATTTATTCTTTATTTAGATGTTCCAGTTAATATTTATCGTGTTGGTCAAGTGAGTGGTGATACACAAAATGGTGTATGGAATACAACTGAAATGGCTGCAATGATGATCTATGCTGGTGCTGGACAATTACATAAAATGCCAAATATTGGTCAGGATATTAATTGGATACCTGTTGATATTTGTAGTAATGCATTTGTTGAACTAGCATTAAAATCTTCATTTGATATTTCAATATCACCTAATGAACGTGTTTATCATCTTCTTAATCCACATATCATTACATATGAAGATTATTTGAATTGCCTTCGAGAAGCAGGACTCATTTTTGACACTGTTTCTTTAAAAGAATTTCTTGATACAATTCTGACAACAAAAGATACAACAAATCCACTTATTAAATTATCTTCATTTTTTGAACAAATATTCAGTAAAAAAGATCGATCAAAACTAGCCAAATATGAAACAATTAAAACAGTTGATAAATGTCAAGCTTTACAAAATTGTCCACAAATTGATTCACATTTAATTCAATTATATTTAAATTATTGGAAAAAATGTCAATTATTAAAAGAACAGAGTTAATTAGTGGAGTTTAATATTTTACTTTGAACTTCTTAATTATTATCCTATGAAATTATTCTTTTGACTTTTTATATTTTTTCATATTTATCTTATTGATTATTGTTTTATTTATATCTAAAAAAAAATATCAAAAATATATGTGTAAACATAATCCCAAGATTGATTTTGTTGCTATTTGATTAGCTCATTTCTTTTGGACTATATTTTATTGAATGTTAGTAATTCGATGTATGTGGCTTGTATGTTGATGATACTGTATATATTTATTCAACTGAAATTTTTTTTGGTAATGACAATAGTTAATTAATGAATATAAGTAACGCTTGTCACTTCGACTGAATAACTGAGTTTTCCTATATTCAACTTTGTCCTTCAGAAACGATTATAAAAGCGAAAGATCAACAAAAATTAACATTATATTCGTTTCGGAAAAAAATTCTCACTAAGAACAGATACGACCCGTACTGTAAATATTGGCGTCACCACAAAATATTCGTATAAAGGCTTAAGCACTTAGCATGATTTCAAGTCTACACCAGTCTTCAAAGACGCATTCCCAGTTCGAACTCATACAATGATATGAAAATATCTATTTTTACCTATTCTTGAGGGTGTGGGTGAAAGGTCAAAAAAACATCGAAAATCAACTTTTAGCAAAAGACATTTCTTGAGGTATTTCGATGCTGGGACTTCGGATGTGCGCCACACTGGCTCAGACTACTAAACGAGAGGGGGGGGGAGGGAGTGTGAATTGGAAAAAGTGGTGTGGACTGATAGAAATCCACTTTTTGGGTAGTGCATTTTTATAGGTATCCAAATGTTCCCCTAGTTATAGTGCAGAGTATGGCGGTCATAATCGACTGGCTTTCTTGCATATAAGATTACTAACACTTCACTTATTTATGAAAGACTAGTTCGACGAGCCACTCACGCCGACAGCTCTAATATGTTTTGATCTGCGTTTACCGCTGACTAGGATGCGAGTATTTGCTAAGAGTAAGGAACAACAAACGAGAGCAAGGTTTTCAATTGTTTTTTCAGTAAATATAAAGAGGGTGCATTTATACGAGAATGAGTTAAGCGAGTCTTCGGACAAGCGTTACTTGTGAATAAATAATTATTTCTTCTACATATTTAGAAACTGAACAAGATTGTAATAATTTATTACATGTATTAGAAGCTAATAATGTTTCGAAAAGTAATGATGATGCTGAACCAGCACTTATGATTGATGAAAGTCAAGGAGATTCCGATGAAGAAAGTGGCAGTGAAGAATTTGAAGATCCAGAAACTGACGAAATAGATGATATTAACAAAACCATGCGTATAAATTCTAGATCCAAAAGTTAGCTAGGAATTATTGTTTTTCTTACCCTTTAGTTCATTCTATAATTCTAGATAATGATGAGAACTTATCTTCTACAAAGCGTTCGAAATCTGATGATGATGATGGAACGTATGCATATTGACGTGGTCGTGTAGTAATGGTAACTGCTGAAAACAAAAAACTCAAGGACAAATTCATCGAGATGGAAACCAGCTGGATGCGTAAGCTTATACAGTTTATGTATGCTTTTGAGAACTTCTTATTTATAGTTGTTAATTTATACATAACATTTCAATGAAAATCTAATATGATCCAATGGATATATTTTCACAATCTGTGTTTTCATTTAAGTGTGAGAGGGATCTCCTGACGAGCATCAGTGAACATATATATACGTCGAAGTTTTTACAGAAAAGTATTTTTTTCATTACGCTTGTTAGCGATAATAGATATCACTAAGTTACCGCCAACTTACTTGATCACTGCTCGTGATCAAGCTTCCATATACCTCTCCCTCCATAATGTCTTCGTAGTTTTCGACACACTAGGTTCTTTTTCGTTCTGCTCCTTTTTTCTCTCTCCATATATTTTTCCCCACTTTTTGTTTGACTTCAGTATATCTGAACACAGTTCAGTTGATCTTTTGCTTTAATAAGAAACACTTACTCTTTTCTTCTAGTTACCCCTATATATCTTTCTCTCTTCTACTATTATTTTTTCTCTTGTTTTGTTTATTTATTTACATAAGTAAGCTACCTGCATCATTATCCTAATCTTTTCCCTCTTTATTATCCTTATCCTTACCCATCTACATTATATATAATCTCATCATTAGCCATCATCAGATAAGATTAGTTTTTCTTTTTTGCGCTGTTTGCAGATATACGACAAGACCTAACAAGCTCATTGTCGCTATATTAAAATTTATCAAATTTGAATTGTTACAAGAAAAACATGGAATTATTAAAAAATCAACAAAGTAAAACTAAAAATTTGGCATGACTTGTTGAAAATGAATGTAATTGAATATATATTATGTAGATATAACTATATAGGGCCACACGCTCTTCGATGAAACGCGTGCTTGTACTGTATTATCATCTACTTGCTATACATCCACACCAATAGGTGGTAAATCAGGTGAGTAACATGATTATAAATATCGAAAACTTAACTTTAAAAAATAGGAACCATGTGGCCGTGTTAATCCGTTCATGATGTCAGCACGATGATAGAAGATCTTGTAATCTAGATAACTCCAAAACTAATGGGAAACGTTCAAACAGGACATGGAAATGGTAATCCCATGGCCCTCTTGGGTTACAAAGCAGATGAGCCAGTGTATCGAACCAATACTTCCATTAGTTGGCATTGTTTCCACATGTGCTAATTGTCGAGTACGGATATTTTTTTAGTAGTCCTATAAAATAATACAGTGGGACGTTTTTTAAACAAAAATAAATAGTCTCACTCTTTCTTAAATATAACATTCAATCATAGAACTCCCAACTGATGTAATCTATGTCTTGAATTGTATATTTTGATATTGATAAAACTTAGTTGTACCGATAAAAAGTCTCTTCTTAACTTAATAGTTGTTCTATTACAATATATTTAATACAAGAAAAAAGCTTTCATTTTTAAATGCTGTCACAAAATCTTAATTTTAGATTAATATCTGTCTTTTTCCATTTCCTCAGTTAAAAGTGCTATATATATATATCAGTACAGCTGGTTAGAATCCAAAGCAATGAAAAAAATATAATAATCAAATCAATATTCTTTTCTTCAGATTCATATTTAATCCTGTTCATCTTTTACTCTTGATGTTCTTATACAAGAAAAAATAGTTCAAAATGTGACATGATGCACAACTCATTCAATTGAGAAATGTTAATAATGAGATAAGGATTGTTTTTGGATTTCTTAGCAAGAGAATATAAGAGAAATTCGAATGATTCTAGTGCTAAAAAATTCACTGTTTTCCTGTTGGGTAAACCACGTTTCGCGCTTTGTTGTATCTATACAGTATTTTTCAAAATTTGATTTATTGATATGCATCTTATTGCTATCATAATCAATATTTATCTTTCTGGAACAAAGAGATTGTATTTCATAGAACTAAATATTAATTCCATTATTACTCATTATTGCACGTTTTATTGTTTCATCTTTTCATGATATAATTCAAAATTATAACGGTAATAAATTAAAAATAAATGATTTCATGTTATTGCGCCTTTCATGATGATTCACATCTGTCTGCCAATTGTATTTTCTTTTATCTCAGTCATGCATTGCGAAAAAAAATAAAAGAATCTGAATCACAAAGCTACAGTAGTCATTTTTTCTTTCTACTACAATAAGAAATTTACTTATGTGAGTCATTCATATGACTTACTTCGATTACTCAGCTTTTTCTTTTTTTTTCTTCCTTTTCTAACTGACAGAACCTTTTCATAAATTGCATCGTAGAAATACATTGGATTTTTTTTCGCCACGTAGTTATTTTGATGACTCATTCTGTGTTAATTTTCTTGCTTACCCTATAAAAAGACTAGTTTATCTTTTAGTTTTATACATATACAAGGTTATAAATAGTTATGCTTTATATTAAAAAACAGCAAACATCTTCGTTAGCGGCGTCGAAGGAGTTAGTACCTCTCAAAGAGGTTCGTGTCGATGCTCGTATTCATTCATTTGCTGCTGATGTCACGCTTACACAAGTATTTCAAAACGATGAATCTATACCGGTTGAAGCCGTCTACTGGTAAATAGGATTAATTGTTGTTCTTCCTATCTTTTAATTATTTGTCGAAATCTTTAGTTTTCCAGTCGAAGAAAATGCAGCCATCTATGCATTTGTTGCTCATATAGATGATGAACGTGAAATAGTTGCTGAATTGAAAGAAAAAAAAATAGCACAACAAGAATATTCACAGGCTCTTGCACATGGTCACGGTGCATACTTGCTTGAACAAGACGAAGCTTCGAACGATGTATTTATTGTTAGTGTAGGAGCGTATGTATCATATAATTTTTTTCGACATCTGTTGCATAGTGATTCTCTAAAATTTCATTATAGATTGAAGCCCAATAGTAAATGTCGTATCACAATCAGTTATGTAAGTGAGCTTGATCTATTGCATGGCAACAAAAAGCCAACCATTCGCTTCGTTATTCCCACTACGATTGCACCACGTTACTCTCCAGCACAAAAAGGTATTGCATCACCTGGTGGAACTCAAGTACAGTATGCTGAATCAGTACCATATACAATCGAATTTCAATGTCATGTGGATAAGTTAGGTCAGAATATCGCCGGTGTTTCCTCTCCATCACATCCTATCAAAGTTGATATTAGCAATCCGGAACTTTTTCTTATTCGATTTAGTCAAGAAGGAGTTCAACTGGAGTGAGTTATTAATAAAAATTTCTATTACTTCACCATATTGATTATATATTTTAGTCGTGATATTATCGTCGATATTGAGTTATCAGAAATGAAAACAAATACGATTGCTGCTAGCGAAAAAGGTGCTTTGATGATTTCATTCATGCCAAATGAACAGGATTGTCAACAAAGCATGGATAGAGTAACCAATGAGTTTCTCTTTGTGATCGATTGCAGTGGGTCGATGGAAGGTGATAACAAAATTGGTTTAGCGCGCAAAGCTATGATACTTTTTCTGAAAAGTTTACCAGTCAACTGCCACTTTAATATTATTCGTTTTGGATCCACTTTCTCGTCTCTTTTCGAGAAGCAGGTCTCAGTTCAGTACAATGAGAAAACTATGCATCAAGCAGAGTCTTTGATTAAGAATATGTCAGCCGATCTTGGTGGTACAGAGTTACTACAACCATTCGAATGGCTTAAAAAGAGCAAGCCACAGAATGGTTGCATAAGACAAATTTTTCTACTTACTGATGGAGAAGTATCGAATGTTGATGAAATAACGACACTTTGTAGTGAAATGGCTGCATATACACGAATTTTTTCATTTGGTCTCGGTCATTCGGTAAGTAATTCAATCTTTTGGATGTATTTCGTAGTATTTATTTGATTTACTATAGCCTAGTCGTGCCCTTGTTAAAGGTCTTGCTCGTGCAACTAATGGTCATTTTACCTTTATTCCACCGAATACAAGTGCCAATATTCATGTAGCCGAACAACTTGCTCGTGCTCTTCGTTCCAATCTTACGAATGTAAGTGCTAAATGGAAAACTAATCAAAAGGTTCTTTACAGTGTATCTGAACATTTATCATCCGTATTTGTTGGTGATCGGCTGTTATTTTATGCATTACTCGACGAATCAATACCATTTGATGATGAAACAACTGTTGAACTGATATCTAAACAATATCAAGAACCACTTAGTGTAGTTTCTATCGAACACGCAATGTCAAACTGTAGTCCACAAACTATTACACGTTTGGCGGCGAAAGCAGTACTTAGTCAATTTCAACATGTATCTAAAAATACACCCAAAGAACTTCTGGTTGATCTCTCTATTAAATATGGTATTCTTTGTCCATATACAGCTTTCATTGGTGTTGAAAGACGGCTTGATGCTAACACTGAAAGCAACATCGATATGGAACTACGTGAAATAGCAATCATGCCCAGTCCCACATATCAAAGATTGCTATCATCATCACAATCGTATCGGTCATCATCTATGTCTTCAGCAAGTTTCAGTTCTTTACAAAGTCAAGTTGATGATGTAACTAATGTGATGCGGGCCAACATAAATTTAGCGTTGAGTAGAGGTGATACGCTTGGCACATTGGAATATCAAGCGGACTCACTGTCGTGTAATTCATTGAAATTTCACCATAATGCATCACAACTTAAAAGAAAATATAGTATGGGTCTTGGCTCTCTTTTTCAACCTGTCGTCAACTTTGCTTCGTCCTTTTTTGCTCAAAAAGATGCCGTTCCTCAAATGGCTACAACATCGATAACAGATAATCAATCACAACAAGATCGTGCTATTAATTGGCCAACTGATGAACAGCAGTTAGTTGAACGTTTTATTGATCGACAACAATATGATGGACTATGGATGTTAACAGAAAATGATGTCAAACAATTGACAAGCAAATCTCTAGTTGATTTCTCGTCATCAATACTTGATACAGTAGAAAAGAAAAATCAACAACTGATAATTACTACAATCTTGGCAATTGTCATATTGGAGATGCGATGCGTCTCTAGTAAGACGCTTTGGCAAACTCTATCAAACAAAGCTCAGAAGCGCTTACTAGAAATGCTTAGTGGAGACCAGACAAAACTCGAGCAACTGCTGAAACATATTCGTGATCAATTAATTTAAGAACTTCATTTTGTTGTAATTTATATTAAAAAAAACATTTTGTGACAATTTATTATCTGAAAGAAAAGTTTATACAGCGTTTAAATCTTCGATTTAAAATATAGAAAGTTTGTCTGTCTTTCCAAGCCAATACGATAACAGTGATGTTTTACCAGTCAGCTTTTATTCTATTGTACATAAAAATAACCTCAACCCTCTTGAGGGTGTGGATGTGAAATGATTCAATATCTACGTTCTCACCCTCACACTCATCCTTAAAAAAAGAATATTGTTATGCTATAAAAGAATGATTTAATCGAGTCAATAAAGCTGTTGAATGTTCTATAAAAATTTGTTTGAATTTAATTGTATAATATACAGTAAGATAACATAATTCTTTACGAAATGTACGAGAAGTTAATGAATAAATATAGAATGATGCCTAAAATATATAAAGTTTATTTTATTAATTAAAAAAGAAAACAAGACAAGACATACAGCTGCATTGATATATTGTAAAAGAGTTGACATATTATAAATATAATTTTCAATAAATATTCTAAAGAATGATTTTTGATAATATTGTGTTAAACCATTGTAACATAAATAAATTGTTACTGGTAACGACAAACTAATAGTAAAAATTAATTGTATAATCAGCATTCGAAGTATTGACCATTCTTCTTTTTTTCTTCTTTGTAAAATAATAATTCTATTATTATGTATTCTATTACGATAACGTTTAAGATTATAAAATGTTAATATACCAAATATTGACATTAATAATGGCATTGATATACCATTTATTAATATAGAATAAAAACTTAAAAATATTGAATAAGAACCTGATGGATTTGAACAAAGACGTTCAGTTCCATTTAATGAAATTTGTATATCATAAAAAATTATATCATGTATACATATTATCATCCAAAATAAACAAACGAATAATATCATTTTTAAAGCTATAGAACGAGATAAAAAACGATGTTGATTTGATGTACTTAGGAAATATCTACAAATACATTTCATTTAATTTTTATAAGAATTTGAAAAAAAAACACTAGCTGTTCACCTATCAATAGCAGCTAATACCATATATGATCGAGGCAACATTAATAAAAATCCAATAGCAAAAAATCTTAATTTACAAATCCATGACCATTTTGCTGATGGATCAATATTAAAACCAAGCTGAAGAAATCTTAGTAAGGGTACTACATTTAAATACATAGCATATCCAATTGAAGCAAATATTAAATAAAGTGAACAAGAACTAAATCGAAATTTATTACTACGTGAGAATACAATTACATTGAAAAAAGATCCCAAATTACCAACTACAATAATAATTGGTATCAAAACAAGAAACAATTTTTTTTGAAATAGATTAAATTCGTGTATAGTCCACATTCATTTACAGTTAACAGTGTGAATTAATGAATGAAATAGAATCATTTTAATAATGAAAACTCTGACTAAAAACTTTTTTTCAATATACTCAAGTTACATACGATATAAAATTCTCTTTAATTTAATTAAAAAATAAGATCTCGTTGTATAATATCATCTAAATAAATTGAAACTTATTTACGTACTTACTCAACAAAATATATATCAGAATATATCGGATAGATGAGTTAATATGATTATATATACAACACTGAATAAGATGATCTTTTTTCGAACTAAAGCTAATTTTAGAAAAAATATCATTTATTATTAATTCCTTCACTCTCAACGACGCATATATGTTTTCAAATGTATTTTAGAATAAAACGTTTTAGTAGTATATTTTTTAAATAAGCTGTTTTTCCCATCTTTCAGATATATTATCATAATGATATTTTACTCCTCCTATTTGCTTTTCAACTTAATATCATTAGACAAATTTTTACATAGTTCAAACTATAAAAGTCAACTCTTACTGGAAAATCATCGACACGATATACTTTCTAGACTTTAATTTTCATATAAAAAATGATTAGATTTATTATTGTTTATAACTAGTTTCAGTAGGCATTCGAATCTAAAGATTGTCATATTATAACATTTAGAAAAATTCTAGGATAAAAGCTTCTATATCGATTAAAATTAGTTATAAATCAACAATAGATTTTTCGAATGAATAATGAATACTAGTCATATCAAATAGAAGAATAATACTATTTTTTAAAATTTACATTGTTAAAATCAATATTTATTTTCAATATAAAAATGTCTTGTATATTTCGTTCGGAATGATTTAGTCGAACAGTTTTAATTGGGTCGACCTGACATGGTTATAACTAAATCGAGACTACAAGCCAATGTTAAAACTAAACCAAGGCCAAACATTATTGATCTCCATGGTTGTAAAGCCATAATATACGCCACAGCATAAACGATACGAATGAATAAATATAAAATACCATAAACAATTGTTCGTGTAGAGTTCCGAGGAGAAAAAGCAGTGTCAGAAAAGATAGCTGTTGCTAATAATAAAATAATAAAATAAGGATCGTTTTCTGTATCATTGTTAATAGTTCTATTGACACGTACATCTCTAGGAAAATCATGTTGAGTCGTTGTTGTCGTCGGTTGTCCTACTAATTTATTATCTTCAGGAGGTCGTGTACCTGGTGGAAAAGGTTTGCCTCGTCGTGCAGCCATAGATACACCAAGCATCACAATACGTCGAAGGATCACAACTAACATAAACCAGGCAAAAACTGTACCCGCTTGTATTGTGTTCACAGTAATCATTATAATTGCTTAATAATAACAACAATCGTATTTGATAACTTCTATTTCACGATAGAATACGTTTATTCTTATGACACAGTTAACAGTAAAAATGTGTTTTTTTTATGTTTAGTCGTCAATCTTTTTATAAGTTATTCTCTTTTCTTTCATTTATTTGCACACAAAATACTAAATGATATTATAACGACGATATTTATCTAGATAAGAGTTGTCTTATCAAATGTTAACTATATGGCTTATGTAATTTTCTTTCTTTAAAAGGTTCTTATTCGTATTGTTTCAATATACCAAAATTTATCTTCATAAAAATGAATAAATATTGAAAGGTTTTTATAGGAAATTTCTCAGATTTTACTTTGTTTGTAAATATTTTTTTATTTGATAATCATAAAAGACTTTTTTTTAGAGTGTAATTATTTTCTCTATAAAATTATTCATTTCAACAGTAATAATGATTATTAGTTGTCTTATTATTTCATGTTTATAGTGGATTTCGAAGTTGTTCAAAATTATTACTAACGAATATTTTATATAAAAGTAACGTTAACGAGAGATACGCGCGTTTCAAATTGTCAGAACTATAGCAATACGATAGAACGTTTTGGCATTGGAAGTGAATTGAATTATATGATTGTTTAGAAGAAACAATATAGACATTTTTGTTAATAGAATTTAGCTAAAGTGATAATAAATATTAATCAAGTCTGATTATCTTTAAAAGAGAGGTAATATCATTGTTTTTGAAAATAACTTTTTTTATAAAATTTTACTAAAAATTTAGAAAGTTACTGAATAAAACTGTAAGATTATTTGTTCTAACGAAATGAATTTGAATAGAATTTATTTATTTCCTTCAAATAAATCTGTTTATGACAAAAATAAAACTAATAGCATTTTGAACAGTTCACCTAGAGAATATTTATTACATCTTTTATATAAAAACAATTCAATTATCGAAAAATAAACGTTGTATTAATAGAAAAAAGAAAAAAATTGAATAATAACTACTCAAGACAATTAGAGTAAGTTCAATATCTATACTTAATCTCCCACAACGATTTCAACATTATCGCTTGATGGTGTGAGTGGGTGTAGTTAAGAGAATAGATTACTCACACAGACTCACACCCAGACCTATCTTCAAGATTAAACGATCGATTTAGCTTATATTTATTTCTTTGCGTACAAAGAGACATTAGTAAAATGTTGATATTTCACCTGCTGCCACATATAAATCGGCGTTCGATCAATTTTATTTGCTTTATTGTCATTTAAAAACGAATAAATTGTTCATGTACGTTCCAGCCAGCCTTCACTGCAGTCTTGTATATATTGTCCATCATTTCAGGTGGTCCACAACACAACAATAAACCATCGTGTACATGTTTAAAATAGGATGAAGAAATGTATCCTCGAAGACCAGTCCAGTCGTCTCTTTGACGTGTGAGACAATAATGTACATGTTGTAAAGAATCAAGTTCTTTACGCATAAGAATATCTTTTTCCGTCTTATTACAATATATAAGTTCACATTCGATACCATCTCTACATGCCTGTCGAAAAATCTGATAAATTCCAGTGATACCACTCCCACCAGCAATTATAGTGAGCTTTTCGATCTTATATGTGACGCCTTTGTTCAAAATAACTCCGTTACCTTGATATTCGAAGTCACCAAATGGTCCTTTGCATTCAACTGTGTCGCCTTCTTTAAGTAAATCAATACAAGCAGACATCTTTCCTGCTGATCGTTTGCCAGACGCTCTATACAACTTAACGACCAAATCAAATTCTCCCAGTTGATCGGTTTCAGAAATGGGTGTATAAGATCTTATGACTTTTTCGTTTGATTGAGACGTACAACGCATGTAGAAATACTTACCAATTGGCACTCCTAACTTTTGATTAGAATGCTCCAATGCAAACGTTAAATATACAGAATCATGATTCACTTCCGTTTTTTGCTTTAAAGTAGCTTTTGTCCATTGTTTGTGAGATAGAAAAATATCTCGTTGTGTATTTGCATTTATTTCATCGGTCTGATTATTTTTTTTCGTCGTATTTGTTTTAAGAATACCAATCTGATATTTAATTAACATATTTTTGGCATGATCGCTATGAATAGTCATAAAATCATCAGTAGAATCCATTCCACTAGCTAAAACGATTGAATCAACTCCACCAGGATGATCTTTTAAATACTTAGAAACATCATAAACATGTTCATTAACGGCAATCCATGCATCACCATCTTTATTGTGCTTTGATAATTCCTCTTCAGTGATTTCACGTGTAATGGATTCATCAAACATTTTAATAGTAGACAATTTTCTTTCTTGTAAGTGATCTGTTGCTACTACTGATCCAGAACCCCAAAATCCATCTGTAAGTTCACGACCTTCTTCCTTGACTTTTTCCATCCATCCACCTTTAGTTAAAGCTGGCACTGTTGGATGATCGAATTTTAAAACGTTACTATTCTCTTGTTTACTTACAGTCAGTCTATGCCAACAATTATTCAACATACTAAGAACATTCCAATACATATCTCGAGGTTGAATATTCATGTTTTCATCCATCGCTCGAACAACAATATCTTTTGCCTGAGAAAGTTTCATAATAGGAACTTCGATATTCCAGAAACACCAGCAAAAACATAGTTCTCTGTTTGGCATATCTAATTTTCCACAGAACAGTTGAGGTGTATGTATGGCTTTTCTGTAAAGATCTTCGGGATAATCAATCTTTGCCAGTTGCCATGTACGACCTTGATCGAGTGAGATCTCGACTCTGCCAATTCGTATTCCACCACCATTATAAGCATATCCTCGAATATTATAAGGTTTGTTTTCTTCGATTTTGACAGTTTCTTCATGAGCAGGATAACATATGACACTCTGTACATTAAGATTATATAAAGCATATCGTTCATCATTATACCAAGATTTATTTTCAGCGGCTATTTCTGGTGTTACCATTGTCGGTAAAACTCTATTATCATATATATGATACCAATTATCATTGGGTTCTTCTGTAATAATTATTCGTTTTAACCATTTAACGCTTCGTCCACCGATTTGGCCTGGTATAGCAATTCGTAAAGGTCGACCATGATCCGGTGCTAATGACTCACCATTCATCTTATGAGCCAGTATAACACCCATAGCAGGATTCATTGCAGTTGAAAGTAGAATACTTGTTCCATAATAACCATTTGGAAGTTTGTCAGCGCCTTCCATACACATGTATTTTGCAGTATGTTTTGGCTGAGCCAATTTAATTACTTCATTTATCAGAACTCCTGTGAATAAAGCCGTGCTGACTCCTGCACTTCCCCAATTAAATCCATTTCCTTTTCGTACCACATTTTGCTCTTTTCGTCGATTACCTGCACATACCATTGTTATAGGAATTGTAATTTGATTAAATGTCAAAAGTTCAGCCAGTTTAAGTGTAATCGGTTTTTCAACCATTCCTTCTATTCTAAATTCCCAATTTAAGATGTCAGAATCAAGTACTTCTGGTACAGCTCCATGATTACGTACATACCATAATTCTGTGGGTGTAAGAAATCCACTATCATATAATACGCTGAGTGGTGCCTCACAATTGAACGGATGAACTCCCGTAAGTCTAATTAGTCTGCTATCTCTCGGAACATGCGCATCTGGCGTCTTTTCATCACATTCTAATATTTTAGTTGGCTTCTCGGTTTCTAATGGTAAAGGAAATGAAATTGTTTTTGTAGAAGAATTGATCTGTTTTGAGTCTCCATCTATTTCGAGTTTTGAAGATTTTGAATGGAAGTCTTCTACATTATTCTCTTTGTTATTTGAGCAGGTAAGTGTTGAGGTTGTCATCATTATTGGTCTCAAGGTTCCAGTACTGTAAATAAGAAAACAATTTATAGAGAAGAAAAAAAGTTATTCAAAAAAATGGACTGACTTATGTATATGGCGAAACGATAACTCTATAATAGTCACTGTTTAAATAATTTTCAAATAAATAGTGTTATTTTTCTATGAAATTGTAGTTGATATTCAAACGTCTTTAAAAGTTATTACTGATTCACAAATTTCTTTATAAACAATTTTCTAGCAAATCCAGCATTTTCTGAGTATTTTAAATTCCACAAATAAATAAAAATAGTTTGATAATGCCTGAGTGTATGATATTAGTAAAAGCGATTTTGCTCGACGAAGAAAAGGCAAGAAAAAAAACGTGGTTTGTAATTTTGTAACTGGTAGTATGATGAATCGAATCAAGGATGATATCTACCTTTATCATTTACGTAGTAGAACTGGATAGGCTTACGAAATCAACCTATTCGTATCCCACTCAACGTGATTCAAAGCGCCACCATCAATTGAGTTTCAGGTCTAGAGTCGATATTAGAAGACTTTATTCTCAAAAAATATTCTTGTAAAAATTCAATGACAAATGAAAAGAGGGTAAGTTTCATTTTACCTCATTTTGTCTATATTTCAGCTGACTATCACGAGTCAGAAATGGTTCTTTAAGAATAATTAACAATTGTGATGCTCCATAAAAAAGTTATAAATTACAACAAACTGATTTTCACAATACAAAAAAATCCATTTTAGGGTGGGTGTAGGTATGAATATTGTAGTCACCTAGCACCCACACCCTCTAGAAATCTATGGCACATTAACGATATATTTGATAAGAAATAAAAATAAAAACAACAGATCATTTAACTGACATACAAAGTAACAGAATACACACATATCAACAATTTACATTGAATTAATGACGAATAACAACAACAACAATGTATCATTTCATACATTACCGGTGGAACTGGATTACTTAATTCTTGATTTTCAAAGCGAGTGGACTCTCCTTTTTCCAATGAGAAATGTTTGTGCAAGGCTTAATATAATTATGGATAGTTACCATCGATATCAGGTAATCATTTATTGTTATCATTATTCTTTATTATTTTATACCCAAAAAACTAGTCTTATAAGAAGTTTCTTTTTCTAAAAAAAAACAAAGATTTCCAACATGACTGTGATATAAAAAAGTATGTAAATATTCACAAATAACAACTCTCTTTTCTTTTCTTTCCTTTTCGAAATCTTATCAAAGATCGAAACCATTGTACTAATATTTAGTCTCAAATTTTTGAGTTCAATGAATTTGATTAAATCTATATAAATTACTAAAATTACAGATATTTCATTCATATTTTAATACTTTTTCTACACTCGTTTTTCTCTTGTATGTCATCAAAATATTGTTTTACTTCAAGTTTTGATCTGAACTTACTAGTGAGATCCCCTGTTCCATAGTTAATGCTTTAAGCTTTTTTGTTATCAATCTTGCAATTTGATTTCGTTTCAAAATGGAAAATTCTTAAGTTGCTTTCAGCAGCAACCTCAATGAGTGACTGCTGAGTATTGTTTAAGAATGTAAGAATAAAATTAATAAAAAAATACTCAATCAGCTATTGTATTATGAAGAGAAAATATGATTCTCTTCAACTCTTTCATATAGGCCTTCGCCACCAAGAAAATTAAATGGGAAATATTTGGATAAGAAGGAGCAAAACATCTGGCCAATATATTATACAATGATAAAGTAAATATCATTTCCTTTTCGTCGATTATATATATCATCTATATGTACTTGCTCAATTAGACATTCACCATAATAGATCTTTATTTTAGACATATTGGAGATAAAGGAGCAGAATATTTAGCTTCTGCATTACAGAAGAACCCGGTAACTACTATTAACTTCTTATCTATCTAGTATATCATCTATTTATACTTTTGCATTTAGACACTCACCTTCCTCGGCCTTGAAGCTAATGAAATCGAGGACGAAGGAGTAAAATACTTAACTGATGCATTAGAAATTAATACAGTAACTATTATCTATTCCTCATCTATCGAATGTATCATCTAATCACGCTCTTTCATTCAGGCACTTACCACACTAATTCTTCGCGGCAATGCTTTTGGAGACGAAGAAGCAAAACATCTAGCGAATTTTTTAACAAATAATTCTATCTCCATTTTTTATCTAGACTCTCACTATACTAGACCTCGAATTCGCTCAAATCGGTTTGAAGGGGGTAAAACACTTAGCTGATGCATTACAAAACAATACAGTAATTATTATTCATTTTTCATCTATTTCTTTTATAATCTATCTATATCTTCATATAGACACTCACTACACTAGATGTCAACGACGTTGGTATTGATTACAAGATAAAAAATCGTATCCATGATTATATTACGCGAAATACAAATCTACTAGGATCATAAATATTAATAATAAGCTTATCATAATAATTGTTGGAAGGATTATATATTACAAGAACAAGAATATGTTTGCTTTATCTTGAATTTTTTTCAGCAAATGACTTGTTTTATTGATTTTGAGCTTGTTTCTTGAAATCATTTAGAATTATAAAAAGTCAAGTGTATCGATAAAAAAAAGAATTTTTATTTTTTTCATTTAAAGTTTGTAGATTTCTTGAGTGTCAATGATCGTCCATTGATTATTAATGGCTATCAAAAGAATAAATTCTCATAAATATTATCTAATAAATTCGAAATAACTATTGAATCATTCTACTTTTATTCTGTAGGTTGGAATAAAACTTTTTTTTAATAAGAAGGCATTTACAAGTGAATCTCATTTTCAACAAAGTCTTTGTAAGATGTGAGAAGTTTCAGATAAATTAGAAATGAAATGTTGTCTTAGATTTTTAATAAATAAGAGAACGTGGATGTGAATTATATTTTAAATTCACACCGAATATTATTGTAGATACCTCTTTATGAGGCTTACTTCTTTGTTGTTTCGCTGTGTGAGCTAGTTTCAGCAGATCAAGATCCAAAGGAAACATATGTATATATATATGAATTTGAAAATATTATTTTAAGAAAAAAAAGAGTCGAGTTGCGCAAGCAGCTTAACTCGGATGCCTGATGGTATAGCAGAATTGTAAACCGTGAAAAGGTTCACAAATATTTCGAAGTATAATGAAGTTTTCATGTGAAAGTAGCTCTTCTTGTCGGTGTTTCTTATGGTATTCTAAAACACCGACAAATAGATTCCACCTTGGAATTTATTAATGCTAAGTAACTGACTCGACATCAGCCGACCCCATCAGTAGCATCGCATGAAAGATATATAAAAGGAAAATACTTGCATGTTGTGCAATAACGTATGACGTCTACAACAGAATAAAACAAACATTAATTGGAAGGAGACAACTTGCATAATATCATCTCAAATTATGCAATTTACAATATTTGACTGAATTTTGAAATCATTGAATACTATTTCGTTTGATTAATTATTTAAAATGAATAACGACAGAAGTATCTGTGTTTTGTAAACGTTCCCTAGGGATGTGGATGTGCGTAGTTACATTGTTTCACGCACCCACTCAAACCCAAATTATTAAACAGTTTGACTTTAATGCGCCGTCTAGTATTCACAAAATACCCACTTATATCATTATCAATGCACAAGGTTTTTTCTTCTTTTATTCTTCTGATAACACACACATACTTTATACAATACTGATATTAGATAAGAGACATAGAGTATGCAAAACTCTATCTTACACTTGGTAGAGAAAGACATTTAGAGTGAGTGTGTAGTAACCACATCGATGACAAGTAATAATAATAATAACAATTTAATTGTTCGATTCAGTGATCAGATTGAAACTATGTCACGTCGGATCGATCAACTTGAACGAAGAACAATGAAGATGATCGTTAAGAAATTATTAGTACCACCAGAATTACAGAAAATTCAATTGGACGATCAAAAAATAAAGTATTATGTTGATCTTTTGAATTATTTGCCGTCCAACGAAGATGTTAAAGCTGTACTCCTATCGATAAAAGTTGTACACAGTAATCATCCTTATGGACATGCATATTTGGGATTTACTGCCTATCAAGAACGTTGTCTGCCTGATCAAACAACCGAGTATTTGGAACAAACTTATAACTGTCACGGTACAGTGCATCAACAAGAACTGATTATTCCTTGGAATAGTAGTCCGAATAACCTGTCAATGAATTTAATAATCAATGTAACGTGTTCACATAACACTGGAACTTATACAGATTCTGGAAATGTGAATCACTTTGAGATTAAAGTTACCGGCTACATCATATAAACTTATTTTTCTGAAATGTAGTTACTTTTTAAACGAGAAAATTTGACGAGTTCATTTTATTCTAATAGTAAATAAACTATTCGAGGGTGCAATTATATGAGCTTTAATTTCAGTATTTTAAAGAAATTTGCAAGTGTGTCAAGTAAAAGTGAAAGTGAGAATGTAGGTAAAGAAACACCATGCATACTTACACCCACATTGATCATATCCTTAAAATGATCCGAAGAAAACAATTATGGAAACAAAATCCTTAATAATCAACTCTATGTTTTGATAATATAATTATATATTAAATCAAAAATAATATTGAATTAATTTTAGTTTTAACAGAAAACCATCTTGAGGGCATGGGTGTGAGCCTCTTCCTCACCCACATCCTATACTTAAAGCACTCACAAATATAAGCGATAGATACATAAAGATTAACAGTACTCTCTCCACTTTTATTACTTTAAAAAGATAAAAAATAAAGTCATTATGGAAATAAATAAAGCATGAAAACATTTCGTGTCAAGATTTTCTACTTAGATGATAATATACCACAGACCATAGTTGTATCATTGGTTGAGAATGCATAAGTTTTGGATACAGTGCCTTTCTTCATCCAACAAGTACCATTATTGGCTCGAGTCCAGGTAAAGTGAGTACACTTAGGAGTCTG